GGGAAGGATATGGAAATGATGAGACTAGTAGAGGAAGATTCGGAGGAACGAGAGAACTGGCGACAACGTGTTGGCGAGTCCAAGTACCAGCTTGGGTACAAGTGGCCATGGCAGTAAGTACTATAATATTTGTAAAAGGTTCTTTTCATAAATAAAAATAAAAATGTTTCTTTTCAGTATCATAAAATTTCATTCTACTTTAAGTTCAAGCGATTTTAGGTTATGTTGCAACTTAATAGGTTTCTGTTACGTAAAACTCTACAAGCAAAATCCTAGCCGATCAAACCTAAATAAAAAAACCTCAGTACCGGTATGAATTTTTTTTTTAAAATGATGTGTGGGATACAGAAGACACAATAAACATATAAAGAATTTATTTGTATACAAAATTCTACATCCACAGCCCCTATTGATCACATTCATTATATCTTTATTATTAAACAATAAATTTAACAATGTAAACAACTGTTTACTTAAAACTAAATTAGGCGTCAGGAGTGAAGTCAAGTCACCAGCAACCAATGGCAAAATTATGCTTTTGACAGTATCACTATTTGAGAAGCTGTCATGATATGTTTAAGAGCCGTTTGAGGCTTGAGTATCAGACTTCACTCATGATACCTGCTGTAAGTGTACATTAGGGATGGTCAAGTCTCGAAATTTCGGGAAATTTTCGGACAATTTTCAATCTCGTTACACGAGACGAGATTACTTTTTGGCCGAGATTTTTATCGAGACGAGAATAAAAAAAAAAAAAAAAAAAAAAAAAAAAAATTAAAAACGCCTGCAGAAAGTCAATGCAATACCCGCAATACAGGAGCGTGTTGTAGTTGCGTTTCCTTTTCGAAGGCGTTCTTATTTAATTAATTCTTTTAATGTAAATATTACTTTCATTATTTTAATAATATTACTTTAATAACATTTGAGAAGTTTTGTTAAGTGTAAGCAGTGTGAGGAATGTTTTATTACTATAAAAAAAGTCAAAACAAGTAACTATTTTATAAAAATTAATATTGCTTTTATTTTATGATTTATTTTATTTTAGGATAAGTTGAACTCTATCCTAACTGATATCACCATGTTTCCTAATCGTAGGCATTTTTAATAAGTTAGGCGTGATTAATAAAAAAATGTTATGCTGATGTTATTTAATGAAAGATTGTAAATATTCTTGCCTATTATCATTATTTTAGTATTTAAACAGTCATCTAACAATGTTACAAAATCAGGTAAAATTTCGAACGTGCATTTCCCGTTGTGTATGAGAAGAGAAATCTCGTCTCGATCTCGTCTCGAAATTTTATGAGAAATAAAAAATCTCGTCTCGTCTCGTCTCGAACTAAAAATCCAATCTCGTCCATCCCTAGTGTACATAATATGACATACTGAACTGGGAATGTAAGATCTGTTTAAATCTTTTGTAGAAATCGGAGGCATGAGTTACCTTTATTTGTTAAGCGCTAAATTAATTAATTCTGCTCTTACTATCACCAATGGTATAGTTGTTATAAATGCAAACATGGTACTCAAAAAGACTAGGCACGGAACGGAATTTTTATTTTTTAAATAATTGCCAATACAAGACAAAGCTTTGCAAATAAGGACCATCTAAATAACTATTTTTTGAAGCAAATGTTAAACAATCATACTGGGGACAGCCAACAAGGAACTGTTAATCAAATAAATCATAGAATAATGGATTCAGAAGGAAATCATGAGATGAGGGTATTGATCATCTAGTAGTAAGACATTATAAGTCTCTATTAGGAGTACATAATGTCGCAAACCCAACCTCAAAGGTTCATCCTAACAGTAAAGTTTGTGATTCAAATGGGATAACAAACATTATGTAAAATCAAAATCCTATCCATATAGTCTGTAAATTAATTTCAGAAAAGTTTTCTGGGAGATGATAAAATTGTTTCAGTAGGTATCATCATATCTGATATGACATTTGAACTCCATCTTTTTTTTGCCATTGGAGTGAACACAAATGAATTACAAGTTGGAATTACAAATGAAAATCTATCCTAAACATAACCTGCACATAAAAAACTGACCTTACATTCAAAGTTCAAAGTAAACATGTTAAAAAGGTTAGTAATAAGGATTTAAGTACATAGCTATAATTGGATACTGGTTATTGCACACCAACTAAACCTAGACATATCATATTGGTGATGTTTCTTTATTACGATGAAATGTTTTACCACAAGTAGATAAACTCAAACTATGAGTGTCTTCTGATAATACTTCACCGACAGACACTATATAACAATTAAGAATTAACAAAAAATTATTTTATTTTAATGGAATAGTTCAGCTAGCTGCTTTCTTATTTCCCTTAAAACCGTAAATCTGCCTCTGGACTTTCCTTTAAAATAGGTAACTAATTATGATGGTTAATATTTACAAAAAAATAATGATATATTTATATATATATATATATATATATAAGTAAATTAATCTATATCTTAGACTACAGAAAACAAACACAATTTACACTACAATGATGAAATCATTTCATGGAAAATTCCAAGCAAAACACAATTTCCATCAGTTATGACTGTTTTTGTTATGTAAAAATAACTTTATCAGGTACAATACATGCATTGCATATTAAAACCCCATATTTGTTAATAATATGATTATAGCAGCTTTCTTTCTTAACCCTGCACATTTGTCATATGGTAAAAAAATATATCAAATACAAAAACGAACAAAAGGAATGTATAAAAACAACGAATAGTATTATTCATGGTTATGTTGCCACCATGGTTTCGACACTTAAAATATATATTTATATATTTTTTTTAAATTTCAGGTTAAAATGAGTCAATAATATTACTTGCCTAGCATTGATAATCATTGATAGTAAGAGAGTACGTATTAGCATTGATAGACCTATATATTCCATCTCCATGTTAAAGTTGTTGCCAGTTTTAAAATTAAAACTTATGTAGTTGACGAGAGCCACAGATATATTGCACTGTAAATCACTGACTTCTGACGAACATACAGGGTTTTTTACCAAGTCAAAAAGGTAATATGACTTATAGAATCAGTTCAAATAGCTAGGAAATGTCAGGAAAGACACTAGGCCAATCCATGACTGGCTTACAGAACTATGTTCTTTTTATAGAATGCGACATCTGGTCCATATAGACGGGATGTAGGGATGGTCAAGTCTCGAAATTTCGGGAAATTTTCGGACAATTTTCAATCTCGTTACACGAGACGAGATTACTTTTTGGCCGAGATTTTTATCGAGACGAGAATAAAAAAAAAAAAAAAAAAAAAAAAAAAAAATTAAAAACGCCTGCAGAAAGTCAATGCAATACCCGCAATACAGGAGCGTGTTGTAGTTGCGTTTCCTTTTCGAAGGCGTTCTTATTTAATTAATTCTTTTAATGTAAATATTACTTTCATTATTTTAATAATATTACTTTAATAACATTTGAGAAGTTTTGTTAAGTGTAAGCAGTGTGAGGAATGTTTTATTACTATAAAAAAAGTCAAAACAAGTAACTATTTTATAAAAATTAATATTGCTTTTATTTTATGATTTATTTTATTTTAGGATAAGTTGAACTCTATCCTAACTGATATCACCATGTTTCCTAATCGTAGGCATTTTTAATAAGTTAGGCGTGATTAATAAAAAAATGTTATGCTGATGTTATTTAATGAAAGATTGTAAATATTCTTGCCTATTATCATTATTTTAGTATTTAAACAGTCATCTAACAATGTTACAAAATCAGGTAAAATTTCGAACGTGCATTTCCCGTTGTGTATGAGAAGAGAAATCTCGTCTCGATCTCGTCTCGAAATTTTATGAGAAATAAAAAATCTCGTCTCGTCTCGTCTCGAACTAAAAATCCAATCTCGTCCATCCCTAACGGGATGTCAACTTGATATCCAAAAGTCAATGCTATAACTAACTGCACAGTTTGTGGCTAAACTAGTTTAGCTGCATCTACATTTACAGTCTAATTTATATTTGACAAAGTAGGCTATATCATAGATAAAACATACCTCCTTAGTAGATTTCTCATCCTTTTGGAACAGTCTAAGACAATTATAGTGTTAGTTGTGTACGGTTTACTGCAGAGGTTGTGTTTTGTTTACAATTTTTTTTGTTATTTCAGTAATTTAAAACCCTTGTTTGGCAAAATAATAGGATCTAATCATAAACAAAAACTCGTCCCCTAGTAATATAACCAAACATTTAAGCACAAATCAAGAAATTAACCCTAAAATAATAGAAACAACACTAGCGCCTAGTGTCACCGTACATGAACTAAACACAAAAAACAAGCTTCAAAATTTACAATGGGATGAGAAGTCTACTTGTGTTGGTTAGTCTATGGCTATACTTATCTTAAACAAGCTAATTGATTTTGCATCAAACCAATCAGGCCTATACATGTAAAATATAAATATTCAATTCACACACATCAGTTTTGCAGTTCCATCAGTCGCTCTGCCGTCATCTGTCAGTCAATTTTAGACTTCTTTTCACCGATATTTTTGGATTGTTCGTACACCTGACGGACGTGATTGAGGTTAGAAAAGTTTCGTTTATTTAAATGATCGAGTTTATATTTTAAATAATGTTTGTAACATCCAACAAGATGGACGATGTAAATTTGTTAGAATATTATGTTTTAATAAAACATTTTTGACTGTAACCACACTGTAAGTAGAATGACGGAAGACTGACTGAAACCAAATGACTGACAGATTGACTGAGAAATTGCAGATACAACTGTGACTGGACTGATATGTGTGAATCAACCTTTATTGTACTGTTAAATAAAATGAGCTGTGTAAATAAACAGCAGCTGTATCCTCAACATTCACTTAATTTAATTTGTTTAATTTTTACTGTTTGCCAGGCCGATTACTTGAAAGCCAATACGAAACTTGAGCGAAAGTTTACCTGATTCCAAAACACACAGTGTATGGCGTAGATACATCCGTCTCAACTAATTTACAGCATAAGAAAGTTTTTTTTATGTCCCACCTTTACATCCTAGGACGCTAGGCTCTTCCAGAACTATTTTACACATTACTTCATGCTACTCCTAGAAGGTCGTGGCATTATCACATAGATGAACAGCACAAGACAACAATCATCTATATAATTATCTCATCATATTGAGACAGGGGCACATTGCTGCATAACTAAACTGCAATATTGGAAGATGATTGCAGAATGTAGTGAACTGCCTAGCCTAGTGTAGCTTTTTCTTACGAAGACTTGCTTGAGCCAGAACCAGAACCAATCATTAGAAAATCCTACGACCAAGAACAGCTGGGTCCAGTGTCAAAATAGCAAAAAGCAACAAACTTAACTCAAGATTGAAACAGCGATCTACTGATCAACAGAGTGCTGAGCAACCCTACAAAATTTCCTTTCGTTACCTTCACTTTCAACAAGATAGAATGTAAACACTAATGTGCACAACAATTAATTTACAACTGGATCCATACACTAACGACCCAACAGATCAGGGAGCCTTGGTAAATACGCACTTTGATTTTCCTCTGGAAGGCTAACCTCAAAGTCACTGTAGTCGACATTCCCATTCTGTGAGTCAACGCTGACCTCAGAAAGTGCCTCGGACGGATGGTTGGAGCTTGATATACTTCCGTTGCTCGTTGGTGCTGAAGTAATCTGTGCTGACGTAATAGGTGCTGAAGTCATTAATACAGAGAGAGCAGGTCGGTCAGCCTGATTGTTTTCTGAGTTTTCAACAACTTCTCGGTTTTCTTCTGCTTTCACTCCCAACGCTGTCAGAAGAGGAATGTCACACTCAACTGGTGGAGAAAACACTTCAATCTGCAAACCAATTATTTTATTTCTTGTGGAGTCTAATAGAGAAGAATGTGAAAACAGATGATATCAAGCAATAAAATTATCAGCTGATATTAAATCAATGGCTATGATAGTGGTTTAAATACCTTATTCATGCAATCCAATTGTTGTCTCCACAACTAGTTTCAACCTGCTAGGAGGTCATCATCAGGTGAGTACAAGGATGAATTACTTCATGAAGTAATTCATCCTTGTACTCACCTGATGATGACCTCCTAGCAGGTTGAAACTAGTTGTGGAGACAACAATTGGATTGCATGAATAAGGTATTTAAACCACTATCATAGTTTTTTTTTTTTTTTTATTGTAAAGGTCAGAGTCTAGACGCAACTTCCGCATTCTCAACACGGGTCCGCTTGTCGAGTTCAATGTTTTTATCGGCCGTGTATGTGTGCGCACTATGTGTTTATTATTCGTCGTGTGTTTGTGTAAATGTAAAAAAACTGTTACTGACGACCTTCATATGAAGTAATTCATCCTTGTACTCACCTGATGATGACCTCCTAGCAGGTTGAAACTAGTTGTGGAGACAACAATTGGATTGCATGAATAAGGTATTTAAACCACTATCATAGTTATTATTCGCAATCCGGAGGCTACCCACACCATAATAAATCAATGGCTTTAGGAGTTATAATTTACACTCGAGAAAACCAATTTTTCCAATTTACGGTGGTTTGGAGATTTGAGTTTTGGTTTTGACACAACACTACATTGCACTAATCTGGGTGTCTGTGTTATTGTGATAAGTATGTAACACTAGAAAAGGTTTTATGCAAAAGACGTTTTCAGCAACATGTGGGGATATTTTTTGTATATCTATACCTTTGGCACTTTCAATGTTTTTTGGTCAGAAAACGGTGCAAACTCTGGTCTTGTTACTATCTAACGTTGACATTTTATTAGATAGCATCATTGATTGACTGGGTCTGAAAACAACTCGCTTGGAATCGAACCAGGCATCTTCAGAGTTGAAAGTCACCTCGAAATGATACCAAAAAATGCTAGTGTAAATAAAAATTTGCTCATAAACATAAGTTTATATCTGTAATAAAATATCAATAAATGTATTCAATATGTTTCAACACCGAGAAGAGATTAAGTCAGATGATAATTGACGCACAAAAGAAGGTTACAAAACAACACTGGTATTTCTTCCAAACATAAAACTTCTTCAGAGACTAGATAAATGACAGTTAAAAATCCAAAACTGAACCAATCTTTAGTGCTACCAACAGTGAATAATAGCAAAACAAAAATGGCTCTGTAAATACATACCTGTGAAGGTGAGGCAGAGCGGGGTTGAGCAGTGGAAGGTGGTTGCACTGTCAGGAGTGGAGGGGGTTGTACGATCATTTCACCTAGACTCGGCGGCAACATCTGTAAATTGTCGTAATTACAAACAGTTCACTAAGTGTAGGGAAACATAATCACTCTCACAAATGGATAATCATATTAAGAAGTTACGAAAATAATCCGTCATCAAATTTGAAAAGTTGATAGTTTAGTTTTACCGTACGCTATACAAATTTTGAACACCAGTTTTTGAATGTTGATATAAGCTATTTTGAAACTTCAAAAAATCAAAGGTTTTCAGACAGAAGAACACCAAAGAGTGCATTAGTTGGAATATTCAACAATCTGACCACATTATGTAATTGCTCATTGATTTTTTTTTAGTTTAATTGTGATATTGTTATGTAAACTATGGAAACTTGCAGCATAAACATAAATAACATCGGGGAAAATCTATCTATGTATGAATTGAATAAGGATGTAACACAGCACAAGGGCCTAGGATTTTAGGATTTTTGTGGGGATAACAGACCAACCTGAATTGAAAGAGTACAAACTGACACAAGTTTTTTTTTTCTTGACAGGGTTTTATTTCACTCCCAAATAGTGTTTTTATTTCAATTAGTGCACCCTAAGCATTCCAGAGCCTTTGACATTCAAAACGGCCTAATATCCCAAAAAACTATTGCCTTGCTGAAACCAGGAATGTTTACTTCCTTCTCTTTGCAATACAAATCCTTAAAAATATTCAACTACATCATATTCTGCAAAAATATTAATTTTGAGTATCATATAATACCTTATTAAAATTCCATACAGTTTCAAACAATGATGTCCAGATAGGTACCTTAGTGATCCGTTGAACCTCCTCCAACGACATTCCAGGTGGCAAAAACAGCTTTTGCTGGCCGTTACCGTCGATGAACACTTGGAGGGGTAGTTGCACTGAGAGCGGAGGTGGTGTGGGGTGCCGCATCTCATCATGACGAGCTTGCATCTCTGGCGGGTTGGTGGGAGTCAAACTACGCTGCCGTACCAGACCTAAAAACATAAGGGTGTAACATGAGAGCACAGGGGTTTTAAGTAGGGATGGACGGGTCCCGAAATTTAGGGAATTTTTTGGGAGAAAAATATTCCTGATTATCGGGACGGGATTACATTTGATTCAGGAATTTTTCGGGACGGGATTTGGTCCGATCGTAGGCGATTTTGCCGCTTGGCGAGTGACGATGACGGCGCTATTGCGAGAGATGTTCACGATAGGTCCGTGAACGCAGGAGACGAAGTCATAAAATAACTTCTTGATCAGCATTGTACGAAGTCATACCGACGATCCCGCCGAGACAGCGAGTCATACCGACGATCACGCCGTGACCGCCGAGTCATTCCGACGATCATGCCGTGGTCGCTAGTCATACCGACGATCATGCCGTGACCGCGGAGTCCTAACGACGATCACCCCGTAGTCGCGGATTCATACCGACGATCATTCCGTGACCGTGAATCATACCGACGATCATGCCGTGGCCGCGGATTCATACTGACGATCACGCCGTGACCGTGAGTCATACAGACGATCATTCCATGACCGCGAGTCATACCGACGATTATTCCGTGGCCGCGGATTCATACCGTCGATCACGCCGTGACCATGAGTCATACCGACGATCATGCCGTGAACGTGAGTCATACCGACGATTATTCCGTGACCGCGAGTCATACTGACGATCATTCCGTGACCGCGGAGTCATAAAAACGATCGCGCCGTGACCGTGAGTCATACCGACGATCATGCCATGACCGTAAGTCATACCGACGATCATGCCGTGACCGCGAGTTATACCAGGGAACCACCCCGTGACTGCGGTCATTTTGACGATCACACCGCGACCGCGAGTCATTTCGACCGCAAGTCACAAGATTCTATAGGTACTGTACCTGTAAATTGTTGCCCATTTATAAGTTTTTATACATCAGTGCCACAAACAGTAAAAATTGATTTCGTTGGTCTTTTTTGGTAACCGCAATACTCAAGACTTTCTTTTTATGCACAGAAAAAAATCCCGTCCCGTCCCGTCCCGAAAATCGGGTAGGAAATAAAAATCCCGTCCCGTCCCGTCCCGAACTAAAAATTCAATCCCGTCCATCCCTAGTTTTAAGGATTTTTGGTTAATAGATGTTTAGAAGGGAGACAGCATGCAATGTCATATGAGACAGTCTACTTTATTTATCTAATCAGACACATATTTAAGCTGTAGTTGTCCCATCTACTTTTCCATATAATTTTTAAATAACTTCCAAGACCCCGCCAATCCCTCCCATTCAAATACGACACAAACTCATATCGTGTTTTTTGGTTTCCTAAAATACAAGTCGCAAGTCATTGAACAGAGGAAACTAGCAACAAAGTGTGAAACAGTTTCATTCTCGTTTGAAACACAAGAAACTAGCATGGCTTTTGTCAACAATCCATGGTTTATAAATAATTGAGGGCTATAAGCTCTCCCCTACATTTCATTATCCAAAAAATGGCTTGGTTGTCTAAACCAATTTTAAGAAGCTATTGTAGCCAAGGTCAAAGACAATGATGAGGTATTGGGAATGATAAAGCTGAAGCTATCTCTTTCTGCATGTACGACACTAATTAGTTGAGACTTTAACCTTACCCCCCCCCCCCATTTTAGCCACCTCAATCTTTCTTGTGTATACATATTTGTTTTGAGAAGTAAATAGGTTTTTACATTTTTTTTCAAACCATCGTCATATGTAGAAATTTTTTTAGCAAATCCCACAATTACAAAATTATATCACAACTATAAAATTTAGTTTAATTTTTTTGCAACGCAAAAAACTAAATTGTCCCCCATTAGCTGGCGGAGAGGTGTAAAAAAGACCCAGAGTAACCAAAAGCAAACTTTAGGACCTATGCTTGTTAGGTACTTTCCTGTTAAAGGGAACATTCATTATTATCGATGATTTTTTCGATATATATCGATATTTTTGTTTACCGATCCATTACATATTGACAACTGATCTTGTTTAGGCTAAAATAGTCTATTGGATTAAGAAATGAAACTGTTCTAAGCTAACCTAACATAACCAACCAAACTTGCTGTACTATTTAAAAATTCCTTTTGATAACAGAAAAGGCAAGTTAAACATGGGATGTTACACAGCAAGTTTGGTAGGTTATGTTAGGTTATTTATTTTAGAACAGTTTCATTTCATTATTGTTTGTTGATACTAAACGATGTTTAAATGAATATTTATCGTAGTTGTCAGCTGATATGTTTCAATTTGTTAATATCGATATATCGAGAAAATAATCATCGATAATAATGAATGTTCCCTTTAACAGGAAAGTACCGCTTGTTATTGGTTTTGCTGGTCCAGGTGGCAAAAATAGCTTTTGCTGGCCGTTACCGTCGATGAACACTTGGAGGGGTAGTTGCACTGAGAGCGGAGGTGGTGTGGGGTGCCGCATCTCATCATGCAGAGCTTGCATCTCTAGCGGGTTGGTGGGAGTCAAACTACGCTGCCGGGCCAGACCTACATAAGGGTGTACATGAGAGCACAGGGGTTTTAAGGATTTTTGGTTAATAGATTTTAGAAGGGAGACGGCATGCAATGTCATAAGAGACAGTGCTTTGGTCGCTGAATCATACGTACATGTGGATTTTTCAGCTGCCTTGTAATTATTATAGAGCATCTGTACATCAGCTAGTACAGTGGTCATGTCAGGCCGATCTCTGGGCCGAGTGACGACACAGCAGCGCCCCAGACGCAGCAGACCTGCGGTCGACATACAATAGTCCGGTCCTGCACGGGTGTCTGCCAGGTCACTCAGGTTGTTGTCCGGATAACTGACAATGTAGTCCTTCTGCAATGTCACAGTGAACAGAGTATAGTAGCTTTGACTGAGGAAGGACCCATTCCAATGTTTAAGTTGTAGCCAATTGTAAATTAAAATAATTTGAGTTGACCCAACAAATGCACTAGTGTCAATTACTGGTTTCTGTGGTATTCACCCACTTTTCAACCAAGCCCAACTGAAAGGAAAATTTAAATAGGTTAGAAATGGTCCAAACATTTAGACGTCTACTTGTTTTGTGTTTTTTTTTTTTTAAATACTTTGTAACTAAATCTTGGTCTTGTTGAATTAAATATACTGTATGTATACTAACCAAGAATTTTTCTTTTCTGTTTTCATCATAAGCGCGTAATCCTGTAGCTGCTTCAAAGAGGACCTGAAACAAGGATCATTGAGTGAAAAAACTTACTGTATTTGATCCATTAAGAATTTTAGTTGGTTAATTATTAGAAATTTCTATTTTTATTTGATTTTGAGTTTTATTAGTCAATTTCTAAACTTTTCTACTGCCACCAATTAATATACTACTATCACCAATTAATAATTTTATAAGATCTGCTAGCCTCTGCTAGTGATTAGCCAATTCTCATATTCTTATTCCTTTTTTAATGTAATACAAAACAGATGTAGTTGATAAAAGGGTTGGTTAAGAGATGGTCTAATCAGTGGTGTTCCAGCAAGAATGCTCACTATTGTCTTATATTATTGTATATAGTCCTCGCCACCCTAACTTGAGGCAGCCCAAGGCCGCACGCCGTATATCTAGTGCGGCCTTGGGCTGCCTCAAGTTAGGGTGGCGAGGACTATAGTAGTAGTATAGTCAGAATGTTGTTCCCACAACACAACTGGGTCAAATGTAGTTACTTTGTAGTGCATTAGACATCCCTGCCATCTAAATGTACTAGCTTTTTTATATATTGACAGATTAAATGGGTAAACTACAACACCATCATCTCATTATTTGCATGCGTGGAATGAAACCTCTTATGTTTCCGTTCATGTAAAGTAGTTCAACCTACCACGCCGAAGCTGTAGGTGTCCACCCTGACGGAGAACTCCCTGGCTCGTAGGAACTCGTCAGGCAGGTAAGGTTTGGTGCCGTGGACTCGGCTGACCTTCACATGAGTGTAGTGTTGATGCGGTCCCTCCCTGGCGAGGCCAAAGTCCCCGATACGCGGCTCAAAATTGCTATCCAGCAGGATGTTAGCACTGAAAGCATCAATATTTTTTATATACGTATTTAAATTGTACAAGCATAGTGGCTTTGGTAAAAGAGTTTAATTCACATTAAAAAATAAAGTTCTACATTTGTAAATAAACAACACTTTTGAGACTAAAGTAGACATTTAGAGTCTGTCAGTTGATAAGATTAATAAATAATTTCATGTTTTTGTTAAGTTGTTTTAATATCAACAGACCTATACTATGAAAGTTCTAAAAGTTAGTCATGGGATTGATTGGCGATTGAAGATTAAGAATAAGATCTTTTATATTGAGTTAATATGTTGATCCGGAATTGGTTATAGGTTCTTTTTTTAAACTAAACAAGCCTTCTGGATGTGTTAGGACAAGTTATGGGCATACTTGGCAGTAGTATGAGATTAGAAAATGATCTGATACCTATGAACAGCCCATTTTTCTCTCTTATATTACTGGGATTCTTGGTACCCTTCAAAGAACGGCTATTTTTAGATGGTGCCAAATCTTTAACATGCTGGAGCAAGTGTCACAGTCACAGTGTAACAAAAGTGGTTTAAAAATTAAACAAAGCCCAGGATTTCAGCATTCCGTTAATAAACATTAACAATCCCAGTGTTTAAAATGCAAACAAATAAAAATCACAATGGATACATAATTGCTTAGTAATACCGTACCTTTTGATATCACCATGGACCAAAGGTTTCTTGCCTAGTGAGTGCAGAAACTGAATCCCACGAGCCGTTCCAGTCATGATGTTGAGCCTCTGTGTCCAGTTCAGGGGTTTAGAGTTATTCTATGAAATACAAAATGTCGTCAAACAGACTTAACAAAACACCACCACTATTTTTCTTGTAATTTATTCATTCTCATTGAAAATAAATACCCAAGTTATGTACATTGATAATTTTATTTGTAATTTTCCAATATTGGTGGAACAGTTTGAGTAAACCTTTTTATGCTATCACTATCATTAACTATTCTAATTTCAGGAAAATCTGGAAACAACCAGACTAAAGAATTGGAGAATCTTGCAACTTTGAGGATTTGTGCAGCAGTTGATATTTGTCTTGAATTTTGTTTGGTTGGGAAATGGTCTACAATATGTACACTGTATCCTTCAAGATATTCAAATCTAAATTATGTGAATGGTTGATAAGTAATCCTTTCTATGGCATCCATGAATTTCTAAAAAACAAAAGTTGATATTGAATTTTGATGTGTATCTACATGATCCATATTCTCTAGATATGTTGTATTTTAATTAACTAAGTATTTTGTAAAACTTTGTATTTTATTTGTTAATTTGGAATATTTTGTATGTGTTTTGACTATGTCTATTCCTTTGTACAAAGAAAGGTCAATGGCAATAAAACTCTTGATTCTTGATTCTTGATTGATTCTATGTCAACACATTTTTTTTTCATAAAAATTAGTGTAATTTATCCAGGGTAAAAATATTGCAACTTGGAGCTTGTTAGACAAAACATATCTTAACAGGATGGAAATTACATAAAATTGACTTAGCCTAGTTTTAGCTAGACCTGACCATTTTGTTTAAAGAACTCCAAGATCAAATCAGCTGATTCACCACTCACCCTGCAATGCAGCCTATCCTCCAGAGATCCATTGGCCATATATTGATACACTAGACAAGAGGCGTTGTCCGACACACAGTAGCCGTAGAGAGACAAGATGTTGTCATGTCTGTGTGAGTTGAGGTGTTTGAGCTCTCGCAACACTTCTGTCATCTGGCTGGCGTTGAGCTCCCCAACTAGCATATTCTGCTGATCTTTCTGTGACAAAGATTGCACTGTTGTTATGGGGTTTGTTTTTTGGTACAAAAATCTAAAATCATACTAAAATGCATAGGCCTAAAGAATTAAGAAAAAAGGGTGAAAAGCAAGACAAACATTGTTTAGACATATGAAGTGAGAATCTTCAGAAAATGGAGTTGACAGTGATAAAGTGAAAAAGTCCAAGAAGAAAACCTAGAAGAAGGTAAATACTATACGAGGTGAAATGGGATAAGAATAAAAGATTAATTAAAAGGAACATGGTGGAGAAAAATGAATTGTGGTGCTATAGGAGAATATGAAAAAGCCTTTTCAATAATCTCCCACTGGGTCGTAGACTCAGGATTTAACCATAAAATAAGATGATAATAGGTCTTTTTGTACAAAATAAGTAGGCATGGTCCTAGGAAATTATTTTTAGATTTTTACAAATAAAAAATTCAAGTTTAACTTTCATATAGGTTTGTTTCTTAATTGTTTACTAGAAGCAAGTGTTTTAAAGACAAAAGAATAAACCTATTAACGATAAAACGAGAGCATCTCTATATAGTTACCGGGGGTTCCAACTTCTTGATAGCGACAAAGGTGTTTTTCCAAAAGCCCTTGTACACAGTGCCGAATCCCCCTCGACCAAGGATACAGCTTGTATCCCAACTGTTGGTGGCTGCAACGAGTTCCTCATAGCTTATCTGAGGGGTGCACCCCTCCATCATAGAACTGGCCAATGAAACGTCTGCAATCGGAATAACTGAAGTGATGTACAGTTTAAGGTGAAGATGAAGATATAAAAAGCTTTAATACTGTCTGCCCAGCTGATTTTTTACTAAGGATCATTTAGTAAAAGCCAATTTATCTAGGACAGCTGGGTATTTGTATGTACAATCTTTCACTTCCGTTAAGTATTATTAGGAGAACATTTACACTTTCACTTCCGTTAAGTATTATTAGGAGAACATTTACACTTACCAGAGAGCTTACGCTGCTGTCCTAGCTTGTGCAAGTCCGAACCTTCACCCGGGGGAAGTAAGTTCGGGTTGTAGTTGGGATTGTACGCAGCCTGGGCTTGACCGGTAGAGAAATCGTTGTTATTGTTACAGTTTTGTTCTGCTTGGTGTGCATTCCTAGCATTTGGCATGTTCTGAATTTTAACTTCGTGAATGGCTTTCTTCGCTCCTTTGTTTTCATACAGGTTGAGATTGTCCAGATTCAAACCAAGATCTTTGTTGTCCTAGAAATGTAGAAGTGAGGTTAAAAAACATAGTCTGAGATTTTAAATAATCCACTAGGCCTATATCTGACAATAACTTTTAAGTTGAGTGGTGAAGTGTTCAGGTCTAGTTATTTAAATCAATATATCTAGCATTTCAAAATAATTACCTACCAAAGGATTATGTAGTTACCACAATAATACTTTTAATAGCCTAATTAACTTTTGTAGTATTTCTGTGAGAAGGTTGGTCTTCTTAAGAAAGTCTTTCACATTTTTATCGAGTTTGACCCATTTCACAAATAAGTCTAAAAGGTAAATTAAAACTAAATTTAATGTGTTGAATTGCTACATTAATTTTAGTTCTAAAATTATAAGTCAATATAGCTTTGTAGTTTAAAAAAGTTATTTGTGTAAAAATAAGAAACTTCAAGATAGGTCCTGTTAACTGCTGAATCTGATATACTAAATCTTAGTCCCCAGCAAGTATTAAGTAAAATTAAAATATAAAAAAACAGCCTACCTTGAAAGCATTTTTACCATTTGCACCTGAAGCTCTTGGCAATGGTTGATGAGGTAAAGTCTCGCGGAGAGTACAAGTTGAGGCCGTTCCTCCCAAATCTACTCTGTGACCTTGGCGAACTGTACTCGGAACTCCCTCAGCAAGGGTTTTGCTTATCGGTCGACTCATCAACTCCTCACCTTCCCTCAGAAGATGATGGTAACGCTCGTCAACTGAACAAATTCAACAAGGGTTATAAACTACCAAATGAATTAAGGATATCCTTGTATTCCCAAATTCGAAGCTTAAAAACAATATGGATGTAACTTAACAAAATTAACATGTCGGATGTCGCTCCCACCCAACACCCCCAATTCCCACCGGTCCCCTAGTGAGTTGGGGTTATGCTCATAGTAAGTTATTACATTTAAATAAGTTATGTTACGTTATCTGCTTATCCCGGTTAATATGACGTGTTTCGGTAAAAATTTGTTTGTCGTTTTGGTTGTTTTTTGGGCTTATAGTCGTTTTCTGCGGAACAGAGCATCATTTTTGGAATCAGCGTTAAATATCGAGTAGGATGAATAAAGAAATAAAAAATCGGGTGCAAACCCTAAAATGCGTATTAACCCATTTAAAAACACATTAAACTACCGTAACATTTTTTTGCTGAACCAATACAATTCCAGTTCATCTCTTAACCCTCGAGGGGGCGCATCGGCCAAAATGACACTGATGGGCGCATCGGTCTTTTCAACCAAATTAAAATTTTTTTGAGAAAAAAAGGATAATTGATGAAAAAAGATCAATTAATGCTTTGAATAAACTCACCCAGATCTTTGAGCATTCTCATCGCTCGATAGAACTGCATTTTTGATAGCAAGACAAACAGCTCATTGACAGTGTGGTTTTGATTTCCCCAACTCGTCAGCAACTCATCTGCTGGGGACGACTTTCTACGAATGTACTGTAGATAGTCATAATCGAAATTCATATGCTCTCCACCTATAGAAAATATTATTTTTGTTATGTTTCAGTGATGTCTGTAGTTTTAGTAAAATACCGTTAGGCTAAAAAAAACTATAAAAAGAGTTATAGCGTGAGCAGATAGTTAGAACACCCTTTGGGCTACATATATCCATATATACTGAGTTTGATTCAATTTGATATTAATATCGCATCAAATTACCAATGATATAAATAAAAACAACAACAAAAATATTAATAAAGTTGTTTATTTTATTCTTGGTTTGATAAGTTAGTACTAAAATTGAACGCCTAAACATGGAAGAACTATAAAAGGTCAATGAAAAGTGGTGTTGCATCTGGTACGACTAGAAATGGAAGAACCATAAAAAGAGATCAATAAAAAGTTATGTAGCATCTAACAATCTCGCGAAATCACCTTTGTGAATACAGTAAATAACTCTAAAGACTTTAAGTTAAGTTGCCAGGTCAAGATCTGTTTCTCAATTTCTAAAGGCAATTACCAAATAACCTAAAGGTATTTTTTTGTTTAGTTGTCTTTGTTTGTTTCTAATTTGTTTATAGGCTTAATTTATTGCTGTTTTAGTTACAGTAAGCCTATTGTTTGTTTTGATAACGTTCATAAATTAAATTTTATTTTTGGTTGGTTGTTGATAAATTAGTTTCATTGATTAAAATTCAATAACAATGTAGGTACTGTACAGTTCATTACCGGTACTCAATTTGATGTTTACATTTACTAAACCACAATAAAAACGTAGCCTACCTATATCATAGCACAATTCGATGTTTTTAAACATTTAAAAAATACTTTAAAAGCAATATATATCAAACTGAATCAAATTCAATATTAATCTGATAATAGGCCCTTAAATACAGTAGCAGGTTCTATAAGGTAAGTTACTGTACCTCTAGGCTGTAGTTTTACTACAGAGATTATTGATAAACTAAGATAGCTTCATTGAAACCACACTCTCGTACCTTTCAAAGAATCACTCTTCAAATAGGCTGAAAACTATGACAAACCTTCAAAATATTGTCACATCACGGTAACTTAGGCTAACTTTAGTATCATATACCTATATCAAATTAAACGTTAGAATCTCCTGTTTAAACTTAAGATATAAAGCAATAAGTTATCTAAGTCTTAATACAGTAATGTTTTCTATTGAAATTTAGCAGTTAAAAAAACAACGACTAGTGACTAGTCGTTTGCCAGTAGAAGAAATAGTTTTAACAACTAGTTAATAGCCTAGTCGTTTGCCAGATGAAGGGTTAACCACACGTTTTAAATTCTACATCACTGGATTATTTCTAAGTCCACCCTTTCCACATATGGGGCTCAGGTCATATAATACAGGGTAATTATTGCCATTAGGTAAGTTAACGTGACCATGTGAACCTATATAACTTAGAAACTAGATTTTTGGCTGAAAATAATGGCGTAAAAATTTCTCCGAGCTCACAAATATTAACGAAACTACTGCCGTTTAAAGTTTTGTTTACTTTTGTAAATCTAACTTAGGGCCTGTGACTGAATATTTGATGCAACTCAGCTAAATCTATTTTGGTTCTGGCGATATATAAATCTGTAGAGGTTCCCATAGTCACGTTAACAAGTTCACGGCGGCATGGGAGCAATCGCTCCCATACGGAACCCTAATGCCATCCTGGTGGGTGAGATCGCTCCCAAGCTGCAATGCAGTACAAAATGATTTTATTTTTAAGCCAGGATTAGAGCTAGAAACTTGAAACCTCGCACAGCACTGCTCAATAGTATACTGTATTTTGTTGTGGTGTAGGTTGGTAGTAAATTTCCCCGTAAAATCCCCGTCTGGCAATCTCAAAAATCTACTTTTTGTCCCGTCTTTACCCCTCCATTTGGCAATGCAATTCCAATGGGACCGGCTTCGTTCCAAGCAGTGCTGCTATCTGTGGGTGTTTAGCAAACTACGTCGACTCTCATTGTAAAACAGGACATCCACCCACATTATTTGCTAATCGTCAGACCGAAATTGGAAAGTCAATCACACGCGGCAATCGGGTTTGTTTGGCGCTGAGGGCTGCGCCACACTGGGGATATGCCCACCATTTGACGTGCCGCCGCGAACGTGTTAATCGCAATTAATACATAATACAGTAGGCCTACATTAAAACAATGCAAAACATTGCACCTAAAGCAAAAAAAGAAAATTGTTCTTACCCAACTCTTCCCACTTGTCTTGTGACTCTAGTAGACGACAAAAGTTGGTTCTTACAGTGTATGGCAATTCATAAACAAAAATTTTCTTAGACATTGTTATGGTTTAGGAAGTGTAAACGAATAAAGATTTAAGCACCAAAATATGATCTTTGTGTTGTCAGGTTCAGATTTTGTATTTATTAAATAATAAATGTATACATTGTTCCTTGGTTAACTACAACAACAGGATTTACGCACAAAACACCATTACATACACCATGGTCCCTTCCTAACAAACTTAAGACAAATTACAAATCAAAATCAATGTGTTGTAAACAAGTCCTTTATTTTCCATTGATATTATTGAAAACTGACAACATTGACAACAACGATCCAACGATCGAGCAACAAGGTTATTGAAAATTCCAGTCTTGTTTTCCTCCTAAATTAACCTAAAAGTATGCAAAATGCAAACAGTTCGACGTCACGACGTCAGTCAAGGAAAAAAACATCAAAACAAAAGAATGTGAGAAAAACATAATTAAAAGAGATTAAACGTTGACTAGGGGCATTGGTTATAAATGTCAGTGTCTATAAACAATTACTATTTTGTATAATCAGACATCATCTCACACCACAATAGTAAGGAGTGTCGCACCATTGAATTTGCAATAAAAAAATACCTAACCATCCAAAGTAAATTATATGGAATAGGTGGTTAGCAACACCATAGATAAAACATACTCTTGAGGAGTATGTTTTATCTGGCAACACCCAACTTGCGGCTTAAGAGTAAATTCTCCGGCTTAAGAGTTAATTCTCCGGCTTAAGAAGTAAATAGTTTAAATAAAAAAAGTCACTGCATAAACCCATATTAATGAGGATAGTATGAGTAAAACTGTTGTTTACCTAATAAATCTTAAATTGGATATATTTTCAAACGGGTCTATAGGGCTGCCATACTCATACTACCACACTACTGTTAACATTGATTCTATTGTTATATTGGTAAATTATGAAATGAGCTCTGGGATGAGTTTACATGTGTGATGATGGATCCTTTATTAATACACGACTTGATTAATTTCACATTAAAGGGGGGGGGGTCCAATAATTACTATTAATTTTCGTTAATATTATAAAAACAAATAAAACAATGCGATATTGTGATTTATCCAAAAATGTCCGTCAATTCAAATCGGTCAACGTTTACAAATTAAATCAGCTTTATTGTAAATTAAAAACATTATATGTATTATAGTTAACATTTTTCACGTACTTGTTGAATTAGTTTACATTAGTGAGCTTTTCAATCCTCAATAATAAACAATAATGACATATAATAGTTTCATTGTCAACTTTATTTGATATTTTTTGCCCCTGTAGTTTAAATTCAGAAGAAAATTTACACTTTTAGGATCCTAGATGTCACAATAGATCTGCAAGTCACTCACCATAGTTAATTCTTATTACCGTCTTTGAAAACAGCTGTACTGAACTGACAGCGACAGCTGTGCTGTCTGCACTAAAACTGCAGCTGTTTTGTTGAGAATGATTATGATACAGCTTTCGAGCTTAGTTTTGTTTTTAAATATTGTTTGATTGAAGTTTTAAGAAAAATGTTTAACTTAAGAAACTATAGCTAAAGGATTTGTTTATTTTTGAGTTTAATATAAAAACTATTACCATAATATAAATATAATATATTATGTATCTTTAGTTAAGGATTCAATCAAAGAAGAACTAAAGAATATGAGGTTTTAATTTGGAAACAACATAAGTTAACTGGAACTGGAAGATAAATATTGATGTTATGATAGATATTCACTAATTTTTATCATTAACAAAAGTAGTAAGACTAAGATTTACTTTACTTTTATCTCTAATGTACAAATTGGTACTAATTAAGTTTCAAAGTTTTGGTCTGACTTTAACAGAGTAATTTAGCAGTGGGGTTTATAATATTGACACTAGGCCTATGCTATGCCTTTTAATTCGGAAAGGTTTTGAAAAAAAATGAGAATCTGGATAAATATTACTTAAATTCTAAATTGAGACCTAATGTTAAACAAGGGGATCCAAACCAGGGCTGCACTTTACTTGACGTCCTACACTCATTCGATTGTTTTTTTCGATTCAATATTTTCATTCGATTCTTTCATTCGATATATCGTTTGGTTAGTTAGGTTAACCTTACCTAACTAACCAAACGATATATCGAATGAAGCAATCGATTAATCGATATATATCGATCTATATTTTCATTTGAGTGTAGGACGTCAAGTAAAGTGCAGCCCAGCAAATTTGAGCCAAGTTAACCTTAAAATTTACCCTGTTTAAGATTCATTAGGTAACTTATTATTACTGATTAACAGTGGCAGCTGGCAGATATCTCTGATAGTCTTAAAACTAAACACTTTTTATTTTGAGTAGTACTTTCACAGGTTATTAGAAGGCAAGGTGCATACACATTAATTAGAAAGTAAGGTACTTAGGTAGGTCTTTAGAAGCAAAATATTTTGAGTTATATTGAAGTAATAATAAAATGTAAAAAAAGTCTCAGCTGTTCAGATATTTTTATTTTCACAAAAAAATAGTCCCATTTTTAAATGTGTCTGATTTTGTGTTTGAATTTTATCTATAAATATTATTGAATGATAATTGATTAACTACATATTTAATTAGGTTTCAAATCACTTTATTGCCCTAAACACAAACAAATGTTGGAGTTGACTTAAGTTCCTGTAGGCCTATATTTCTACCTATTTCATATTGTAATCACAGTTTTAAATTGGTTTTCAAGCTTCTAAAAATATGAAGCGGCAAGAAGTAATGGAAATGGATTCTGTGCTGGAAGGGGAGATTAAACAATTAATAAATGCTAGACCGATCAAGCCAAAGTTTCGACCTCTTCCTGACATATCTGACATTCTTTTGAAAGATGTTTCTAAGCACCCTTTGATGACGTTTAATGTGAATGCTTTGAAAAAACATCAAGTTGATTCATATCTGTAAGTACCCATCCAAACGTGCAGTAAGTAACTTAGGCTAAATCATAATATAAATAATAATTAGACCTATAGGCTAAATTTATCTAACTTATTTAAGGAACAGAAGTAGACCTAGACAAAATTGTGATTCCATGATATATGGCTTGTAAATCAGTATGTAGTACGAAAGAATCCTTAAAACGATGCACAACATAATTGAATCAATTGATGTTCATTTCTCAACCAATTAAGTTGCATTTAAATCACAATTCAAATTATAGTAATCCAAACCCATTGAAAATAATGCCTTGTTGTTCGAACCAATATATTACCACTAGGAAAATAACATCAACACTCTGAATAGGCTTATTAAATTGCATGATTTCATTTTCAACAAAAACTATCAAATGTGTATTTTTGTTAAACAAAGCTAGGCTACCTACCTACAATAAATACTCAAGTGGTGTTTTTTAAGTTTCTTTTTACTGTACAGAAAAGAAAGAGCGTTAACAGCAAAAATCAATGAATTCGTCAAGAGAGTGAAGAAAGGTGGATGGAAGGACAAAGAAGTAAGGAAGGGGTTCGGCTTATCAATGGTTCAAGAAGGGTTGCGAGGGTACGCTAAAGAAGCAGTTGTTCAACACATACACCCAAGTTGGATAAAGAATGTCAAAAAGGTAAGAGACTAGTGTGTGATTCTATTAGTTTAAAACCACTAGAAACTTAAACTAACGAGACTTGTTTGAAATTAACAACCTTGGTTAAAATTAGATTGTCTCAACTTACAAACGAATGTTTAGTTGAATATTGCAGACAGGACAATGTGAGTTGTGGAGATGAGTTAACTCATCTAGTAATATTTACTAACCGGCTTTTTATCCAAATGACTCGTTTTCATTGTCTGAGTTTCAACTATTAGTTGCATCCATCCACGTTAGTGTAAAACTTGTTTTACAAAGCCCACTGTTTACGAAGAAGTTGCAGTCCAACCATTGCTGTTGTTTGGTTGAAGATATAAAAGTGGTTTTTGTCGAAGTAAGTATCCCATTTGCCTTATCCCAATACCCAAGTTCATTGGGCAAGAGAGTTCCCTACCAGCTTGCCAAGTATTTTGCAGTGGCTGGGGACTAAGCTGATCTTATTCATCATTGCCTCCAGGATTGATTATTGGCAATATAAATAGGTTAACACACCATACGTCATCAATCCTAAAATTAGTCTATGGCAACTAGTTTTGAAACATCAGCAGTTTCATTGTTTAGCCTCTTGCCTCTTAAAATTATTGGGACATATTTTCGTCATCAATACACAATAGTTGATTCAATATGTACACAAATTATTTACAAAAACGAATGCGCGGCTGGCCATAACACCGTGGTGACGGACACGATGCAACTGAGTGAAATCTTGTACTCCTTTACAGCAGATTTACACCTATATGAGGAACCAAGTCTAGAGCCAGGGAAGAGGATTAAGGCCTCGGGTACAACAGGAGTGGCGGGCGGCTGATGGCGGTCAGTTGGTGGTGGTCGGTTGGTGGCGAGCGGAACCTGAGCGACTGTTAAGCGGCAGTGGTGACTATGATACAAGCTGCAATTTTCTTAACGCTCATTGAATTTCCCCTATTGTAGGTGTCAGTTTAGAGATGGCAAACAGTGCAGACTCGTAGGACGTAGGGTCTATTGCATTTATTTTCATTATTTGACAATTATCTGTTAAAAAAAACTTAGTTATGTTATAAATACCATAAACCACCCATACATTAATAGGCAAGCATGTTTCTTTAAAACCTTTTATTTCAGCTCGTGTGCATCATAAGGAAAATCTACGCATACCGTTAAAAAAATATTTTCCTGTAGATGTGCAGAATCCCTTTATAAATTAAAATAGGCTAAAAATAAGCACAAAAAATGAATTCAAAATTAAAAAAAAATTAACATGGGTCAAATTGGTTGTCATGCTGGTGACAAAATAACAACAAAATATAAACATAAAATCAAAACAAATGGAAGAAATTCCAATCACATGTTTTATTTACAGCGTGGGGGTGAAAATAGATAAGTCTGTACGTATATTTTTGGTCGAGTTTTTGACCACTGGAATACCTCTAGTACTTATAAATAAGAGGTGTAGGAGACAATGTGGGTGTAACCAATTAACAAGAGGAGAAGAGTGTTTAAGGAATACCAGCATCTAATTTTATAGCTTAGAGAAGACGGCAATAGGTTCTCTGAAAGTATGAGGATATCCTTACCAACTGTTGACTTTATTTTGAGCATATTGAGATAGATAATTGAGAATAGAAGAGTATGACTGTATTGTTTACAACAAAATGAAATATGATTAATCTGAGCAGTGTTTTGGGAAAAAATATGAAACTATGAGCCCTGCTTGGCGGTGCCGCCTACCATTGCGAACCGCTCAGACGTGTCATGGGGACCTTTAACAAATTTACCTGCAACTAAACGAGATCTGATGTCAGAGCGCTGCCACTTGCCGGTCATCACTCGCTTGTATCGTACCAGAGGCCCACTTATCATAATGCTCTTATTGTTCTCTTTAACCTGCTGAGTAGTACATCCACATTCTTTGGTTCTCATTAATCATACTGTTGAGTAAGATTGGAAAATTTCAAGGTCAAAGTGTTTCTCAAAGTTTAAAATCAAACAATATTAAAACCATCAATACTCTTAAGCATTTTTTTTATAAATTTCAGAAAATTCCTAAGCACTTGTATTTGAAGTATAAAGAACTGTGTGAAGGAATATTGGAAGAAGCGAAACAAGAATACACAAATACTTTAGCTCATCGGGGGTTGTACACAATGATGCAACCGTTTGAAGGCGAACAAAGGATCCATCTTTTGACTCCATTAAAGGCTGAGTAAATATTTCTGTCAATATTGTTTTTAAAACTCTTAAAATGAGGGATAAATTTATTTGGATGTTGAACATAGACTAATCATCATCTAGTAAACAACTAGATCAAATCTAGTAACTTGATTTGGTGTGTTTTTCATATCTGCTACCAATTGAATGAGTTGATGTTGGTGAAACATTTCAATTAGAAATAAGCTAATTACTCTTTGGTTATATTATGAGAACTGAGTACAAGCAGAGGTTGAAAAATCTATAACTCTTTTAGGTTGTGACAAATGTTTGAGCTAGAAAAATAAACCATAACAGAGTATGATTAATAAATAATAAATAATAGAGTATATTTAAGCTCTGATAGAACCAGTGGTGTAGTCGTACATTTTTCAGTGTGTTTTTTTTCTATCAGAAAAACATGGGCCGTCTATTAATGTAGGGGTTTTTGAAAAAGCAGAATGGGAACACCGTTTCCTCACTTTCCTACTCCATTACACCGCTGGAGAGTAGTTAGTCCACTTGTAGTTGTGGACAAATTTATGTCAGTATAGGACGGTCTTAAAAATCAATAAGAATCCTACTTATTCAGTCATATCTTTATTATTATATTTAAGAATATAAGTCATGAGTTAGCTGTTTACTAATTGTCATATTAATACTACTTTCTTATAAAGTATTTATAAATTTATCGCAAAACCAAGACATAAATAAGAAACTAATTTTAAATACCCTGTAATTTTAATTTTTGAAATTACTTTAGTGTTGGAGGTAAAACAGAAGACTACCCAAGATTTTGTGAGAGGAAGCAAAAAATTGAAAGACGTCTATTCATAACTCATTCGTTTGTAAGGAGCATTCAGAGGAAAAGCCATGCAGCAATACCAGAATACTTAGTTGACTTTAAAACATTCAGGTAAGTTACGCTTATAAGAATACGAATAAGAAATATTTATTTCCATTGTATTGATCTTTATAAAAGAATCAGGTTTATCTTTTATGGAGTTTATAGGAAATTGGTTTATAGTGAACTATAAACTGTGAAAAATTATTCAGAAAGTTAATTTACATTTTTTAAGGGTTAGTCATTGGGTTTATAGTCCGTGAGGTTGGCCAAGGACTCTGAGGGATTAACGTCCTTTCCACCAATGCAAGCACATCGCAAGCAGGGCCCTACCTACCCCACGGCGCGTGACCCATGTGTGTGTGTGGTGTGTAGGTGAGTCTCTGTGTGTGTGAGGGCTGTAATCCCTTAGAGTCCTTCGGCTACCTCACGGACTATAGCTAGCTTGATTGAAAACATTAGAGGAATAGAAATGCTGTTTAGTCCTAAATAATGTTCTACATATTTTATTTGCTTTCTTGAGTGTAAATATTATTCTTTAACACATTCACTGCTAATGATATGTTATACTTTTATATATGGCTAAAAAACATAAACATGAACATGATTATGTATATGAAGTGCCAATATATCTTTAATTAAATAAATTGAATCATATAAATTTTGAATTAAAACATATTATATAATTGTATACATTATATTTATATACCTGCAAATATACTGATGACGCACAAGTGCGTCATTAGCAGTGAACGTGTTAAGAGGTCTCCACAATTGGCTCCACAGAGAATCACATAGTTTTAAGTTTCTTCTGATACTATTTACAGCAATCAACTTCCTATTTGTCAGGTTTAATCAAGTCCTATTAAACCAACCACAAATGTAATTACTAATTTATGTGTAGTATTTACGAGGGGTGTTTTTAAAGTTTGGGGCGTTTGTGCTTATATAGCCGTAGTTTGCAGTTGTAGTAGTCCGTAGTTTGCATTTAGGCCTGCTAAGAGGCAGCTGGCTGCTTACTAGCATCAGTTGTGAAGAGACACACAGCAAAGCGTACATGTCAGCTACAGAGCTGGCAAATGGCACAATTATGTTAAAAAATATGCCAGTAAGTGGCGAGCCACCTCATTGTGGCTAATGGCCCTTACACACACACAAATAAAACACTCCTCGTAATAATTACAAATAATACATTGTAGGTACATTTAGGACATTATTAATACCAGTACCTACTGAGTTTACACACGTAATTACTACGTACCTATTCAACTTTCTTTAAGCTGAACAAAAACCACTGTGAAAAGAAAATTTACAGTTAGAAAAAGTCACAACAATAGCTATTTTGTGGAATTGTTTTATGTATATCCAAAGAGTCAAATTATTTGGTGTATTAATTATGGTGTAATATTTTAATTAGTTTCCAAACATACTGACATCATTTTGAACGAAGCAGTCATTTATTAAATAATATTCAATGCCAATTGCTACATAGTTGTATACTGTACCATCTCTTAGTTTCTGTAATAAAGTTCTTATTCTTAATTTTCCAGAAAAGACGACTATTTTCACAAATTAGAAGAGTTAAATATCCTTATGCTGTTAGAGTTGAAGAAATCAGAAGATTTTCTGTCTAAAACTTGGTATTTGAAACTTATGGTGACATTACCGAGGAAAGTTTTAGAAGGAGTTCCAAAAAGATTACAACCGAATATAATAAGTTGTGCTTCGAACATCATCTCTCTGCAGGTAAACTTGACTAATCTTTTGTAATCTGTAATGATAACATATTGTAAATTGTAATTGTCTTATTCAGTTGTCATCAATTGGATTTCAAACTCCGAATATCAAATTGCAAATCAAAGTATAATGTTTAGAATTCATTGTTGGTGATGGTGAGTTAATGTTGTTCAAAGGTTTATTGCGGACATTTACCATCGTGATGGAAAATGTCCGCAAAAAACATTTGAACAACATAATGTTTAGCCTATTAAATACAAGATAGAATGTAATGTGAAAATTGATTCTCACTACTGTTTATTATATTTTTATCAAATCGTATAGGCCTAACTTTGAAGTGATTATAGAAACGGTTAACAGCAGAATCACACGATACTGATTAAGTGTTGCTCGGCACAGCAAAAAGCAGCAAAAAAATACAGAATCGGAATTGGTTTGAGAATAAATAATTTAAAAACTTCAATAGGTGTTTTTAGAGGGAGAGGTCTTGGAACGTCATTTTACTGTGTCGCCCCTCAAATTAAGCCCTGTTTTTACCAAATTCAAAACCATCTGACACTTTAACTTTAAATGTTTTCCCAATCTGAAAACCTGATTCTTAAAAAGAAAATAATTTCTTATGTTGGATTTACTAATGGTTCTTTTTTACAGATCACCCAGTGCATCAGTCGGACAATCTGTCATTTAAAGCAAGTTTTGAAGGATCCGTTACGTTTCCCGCAGCTCTCGCTCTCTGTTATAGTGTCTAACCAAGTGATAATGATGAACCCTACTGTTGACGATGTATTCCTCAGCTTCAGTCAATTGGTTAGAAAGGTTGGTAGAGATATATTATTTTTGGCACATTGTTGTGATTGGTCCTAGATCAGTTGTATTGTAACTTTGGTCCTAGATCAGTTGTAGAATTTTATCATTTAAATTACCTTTTCCATTATGATCTTTACAGTAAGGAGCGAGATGTTTTTATTAAAAATATATATATTCTGATCAAAAACGTTTGTAGATTTCAATGCTTTAGTCAGGATCGCAGTTTGCATGTGTCACGCTATTGCCCCGAGAAATAATTGTGCACTCCCACTTTCCTTGTCGGTAATTTCTCTTTCTTGCCCCCAACAAGCCTAAAACCTCTTGGTCTGCCGAGCCCATTTATTAATTTTAGGATTTTAGAGCTAACAACAGAAATTTGTTTTTTTTATAAGATTTTCAGGGCTGTGCGAATCCAGAAATTTTGGTTCGAATCCGAATCCGAATCATAGCTGTACAGATTTTATCGAATCCGGATCGAATCCGAATATTTTAATTAATCCCGAGTCGAATCTGGGTCGAATCCGAATCTCAAATTTACAGCCATTATCGAACCTGGATCGAATCCGAATCTGAAATTTAAAGCTGTTATCGAATCCGAATATTTAAACCTGTTCAGAGTCGAATCCAAATCCGAGGAAAGTCAGCAGTACCAATTTTCACATTTTTAGACCACATTTTCTGGGGCTGAAATAACTTAGGGAATTGCTTAAAAAAATTCTTGAAGTGGGCCAAATAAAAAAGTTATGAAATTTAGGCCTACCTATTTGAAGTTTTGAAACTAAAAAATTGGGCATAAGTTAGGCATACCACCTAGGCCTAAGTTTCTCGCTAAAAGTGATGGGCTACCAATTTGTGTAGTCTAAAACATAGGCCCAGCCTATTATACACCTCGGTGTTAATCCTCCACACAAACCTATGTCTGCATTACTATTACAAGTAACAACTAACACTGTGAGGTTAAGTTTACTGATAGCCAAGATAGGGTTCAAATGCGACCTACACTAATGTGCCTAAAGCCTAACACCAAGTTGGTCAGGTTCCTAACATGAACCAGTCAACAGCAAATCGGAGTGCACAAGTAGTTTTTTAGTGTCTAAAAAATTATATTGAAAATTATATTCAATCAGAATCTAGTAAATTTGAATATCGAATCCCAACTCGGATCTATTTCCAAGAAATTCGAATATCGAATCCGAACCCGGATCTCTTACCAGTAAATTCGAATATCGATTCCGAATCCGAATCCAGTTAAAACAGTAGATTCGTTCTCGAATCCGAATCGAATCTCTAAAAAGATTCGGATTCGATTCGTTTTTCGAACTATTCGCACAGCCCTGAAGATTTTAAAAACATTTATTCGCAACACTTATTTTCACACATATTTACACCAGAGTCTACAGAAATATGTTTGAAACTTTTGTTGGCAGTAAGAGCTGTGTCATAGTTTCCAACATTGGTTCACAAAGATACCAAAAAATTATGAACATGTCAGATTTTACATGCAACTAACAAAAAACCAATCCTTTCAATTTCCACCCTAGCTGTCCACCATTTACTTTAAGTGGGCCTCTACCATCACACCTCGCCAAAGACAAATGGACTCCTCATGAGTCGCACATTAGACCTGACAAAAGTTTTATTGAAACTCTTGATTTACGATACTGTCTCCTGGACATAGAGCAATGACGCCTTAGACCACTCGGCCATTGATGAGACTTAGTCTTTCTCCTCACTATAGTCTGTATGATGGACCTTTATCCTGACCCTTTGTCTACCTGGGACTGGCTTTGACCTTAAACCATTAGCCATAGTCCCCAGATAGACATAGATTCAGGAGGGGTTCCATCATAAAGACTATATCAGCACTGGATCACTAAGAGCCTTTCAAGCGTAGTAGTCTTTTGTTGAAACTAGAACAAATAGTAAGCGAGAGTTTGTTTATTTTAGTCTTGCATTTCATAAATTGGCATTTAGTGCGGAAAGAGATTAGTGTACCAATAACTAATAACGATGTTTTCTATAGTTAATGGGGACAGCTCAGGAACTTCCTCCTATGGAGACCTACTTTGGTTTTCCGACAAAGAACAAGTTCGTGAGAATTACTCGTAGTAACACTTTGGTGGACGATTCTTTGAACCAACTCCTACAGATTCTTGAAGACATGCTGATGCCTGTAACTGAATATGTTGAAGGCTTAGGTAAGTGTCGAGGAGAATCTTCTTCATACTTTTTATCACGAGTTGTGGTAGATAACAATGATTGTTTTGATGGGTAATTTAATTTGTCTAATCAAAGCCAGCCATTCCGAAACTGTGCAAAATACCATTTCAAAATACTTGTCACTTGTCAGACATGGAATTTTCAGATAAACTAATCAGAAAGCTAAGATGGATAGAATATTGATTACGATTGCATTAGACTTACTCTCGATGAACCTTGGGGTTGAACCTTTGTCCAAAAACAATATAAAATCAGAAGTTGATAGAAAAATAAATAGATACACGCAATCACACATGGTGTATGTAGCAGTGCTGAACTAATCTAAATAGTATCGTAAAGGAAAAGCGCACAATTTGTACATACCGAATGGATTCTGACTTTGTTTGTTTATACGACTACGGGAAAAGCAATGCATACAGACGAATGTCTAAGCCAAAGACTGGAATAGTTTTAGACCGGAATTAACTGTCGGTTTTTGGTTCGAAATTCCTAATAAACAAATCTTAACAAGAGGGACTTAACTGTAGTTATTGTTATAAAATAATTAATTAGGTTAAATTGTGTTAAGATAGCTTAGTTGATAAAGTTTTTTAAGTTTATTATAATTATTTCATAGCTCAATCTCATTCAAAAGTTTAGATTTAGATGCAAGAAAATACTTGCAAGCTTGCAAGTTTTTAGAATACTTGTTTGTAAACTAAAGGTTTTTTTAAAGGACAAACATTTCAAAATCTGTTAAAAGAACAACAGTTTAGAGAAGTAGATTATCTCTCAAGAAGAAGTGATGATATTGACAAGCTTATTGAAAAACTTGAGGAATTAAAATCGTACGAAGATATGGCAAAGAGTTTACCCGAAAATATATATTTTGATACAGGAAGGTATTTTAGTTGTACTAAGCACAATACTTAAACAATAAATACAAAAAAGTAGTTTACTTAAAGGTAGATTGGTGATTTAAGAATACAATTTTTAAAGTTTTGAACTATATATAGTATTTAAATTACGACGTAAAAAAGATATTTATTAATAACTTTTATTTAATTTGTAAAGGTTGTCTCAAAATTTGTAATTTGTACCGTGGAATTTTCGTGTGGAGAGTTGTTTTTATATGTTTTACAACATAGCATTGTTGTTTATAATTTGATCCAAACATTCCATAATTGGAATCACTGTCTTTTTGAACAAAAAATATTACCTTTATTGCATTCATGTATACAGTGGAACCTGGATAATTCGAACTTCTTTAATTCGAAATCTTCTTTAATTCGAATTTTTCCCGTGGTCCCTAGCATTTTGTATTAAAACAATGCTAAAATAACGTGGATAATTCAAATTTTATTTTGGATAATTCGAATTTTTAAGTGCCAAATCATTAAATTATTACTCTAAATATATTCAAAAATAATAAATAAAAAACATATTCCAAGCCACATTTGACGAAATGTTTGCGTTAGAACAAGTGCCAGCCCTCGCGCGCCTGCGTTTAGTCTGATGACTCATACCTCCCCTCCCGCCACCGCCCTACAGGTCATTGTACCCTACACTCCCTTCCCCTTTCTCCTCTCCCACCCACCACCACTGACCTCTTTTCAGTGTCGCATTGTGCGTGGTCTGTATCGGTTTGCGTGAAGGCCGTTACCTAACGTAGTTTTGCTGTTGTCTTAGACTTTTAGTTTCAAGTGATTACGTGTACAGTACTGTAGTTTTAACGTACCGTACTGCACTACTGTATACATTAACTTTTAGTGAGTGTAACTGTGTAGTGATCATGGCATCAACCTCATCGAAAAAACCAGGGTCTTATAAAACTTTGACATTAGCTGAAAAAGTCGCTGTGATCAAAGAAGTGGAAAAAGGAGTCAAGAAAAAATCTGAAATCGCGAAAGACTTTGGAATTCCACCCAACACCTTATCAACTTACTTAAAAAATAAACATAAAATTCTCAGCAGTGCAGAGGAATTTTATAAAGACAGGAAACGATCGCGAGAGCCAGGAAATCCGGATGTCGACAATTGTGTGCTTAAATGGTTCAAGCAGACCAGAGACAAGAAAGTTCCTGTGAGCGGTCCTTTGATTAGAATCAAGGCTGAGCAATTTGCTAAAGAATTAGGGAAGCAAAACTTTAAAGCTAGCACTGGGTGGCTGGATGGTTTTAAGGAGCGCAATAAAATTTTGTTTAAGGCAGTGTGTGGTGAAAGTGGGGCGGTGAACCTGCAGGAAGCTAATCAGTGGAAGAACGATCTGGAAGAGATGATCCAGGACAGAGACCCGAGAAATATTTTTAACGTTGACGAAACCGGTCTTTTTTTCAAATGCACGCCCGATAAAACACTTGCATTTAAGGACGAAAAGTGCCACGGGGGGAAATTAAGCAAGGAGAGAATCACGCTATTGGTTGGTGCTAATATGGATGGTTCGCAAAAGCTGCCTTTGTTGATGATTGGAAAATCGGCCAATCCTCGTTGCTTTAAAAATGTCAAGTCTAAGCCAGTAGAATATGTAAGCAGTTCTAAGGCTTGGATGACAAGTGACCTTTTTGCGAAGTGGCTAATGAAGTTGGACAAACGGTTTGTTAAAGAAAATCGACAGGTTCTCCTTTTCATTGACAATTGCACGGCACACAACACCATACCTGTCATGGAAAATGTCAAAGTGGTTTTTTTCCCAGCCAACATGACCTCTGTTGTCCAGCCCATGGATCAAGGGATCATAAAAAACTTGAAACACTTTTACAGGGGTTTGTTGGTCGAGAATATCCTGTCCGGGGAAGGAAACGCCCTCAAAATAAAGCTGGACATTTTAGAAGCATCGCGAATGTGCAAACAAGCGTGGGACAAAGTGAAGCCGGAAACAATAAAAAACTGCTTCAAAAAGGCAGGTTTTGTTAAAACCGACGAAGAAAGCGCCGAAGAAACTGTAACGGACGAAACTCTACCAATCGACGGCTGGGAGGATGTGGCACCCAATCAAACCATCTTGTACGAGGACTTTCTTAATGTAAACGAAAATGTCGCTGTGTGCGGTGAATTAACTGACGCCGACATCGTAGCAGAAGTCCTCGACACCGAGGAACAAAATGACGATGGATCGGGGGACGAGATCGTCGGGTCACCGGCCGATGAAGAAGAAACGCCAGTACCGAATGCAGCCGACGCCATGACCTACCTGAGAGAAATTCGGCGATTTGTGGAGAGCAGAAATGATGTCGGTGATGTACAGTTTAAATCATTAGATGTTTTAGAATCATTTATCATGGCCGAGAGATTAAACTCAAAGAAACAAGCCAAAATCTCTTCTTTTTTTGTAAAACAATAAATTAGATTTGATATGTTTTTTGTTTAACAATCAGTCAATACGGTCTCCAAACTTTTAGTTCTCTTTGGCCGATATTTTTCTATTTCTGTCCTGTTGTCCTGTATAGGGCCTATTTTGCTTAATATTTTGCTTTGGACTATTGGTAATCGTGTGAAGTTTGCGTGCAGTTCAGCTATTGCTGAGGACATTTTAAGGTTAGTTAATTTTAGTTTTGTACATAATTTCGTTGTCGTTTGAGCGATTGCAAGTTATTTTTATTGTATACTATTACTGTAATAGGCATTATTCAATAAATTAATGTTCAAATAGTATCAATAAAGTTAATAGTTTGAATTTAAAACGTGTTTTTATTGTTTACGGCCCTGGTTATAAGAACTTATTTAATTCGAATTTTTGGATAATTCGAAGTTTTTAGCTGGTCCCTTGAGGTTCGAATTATCCAAGTTCCACTGTACTTACATGTACTTCACTTACATTTATAACTCTTGTTTATGGATTGGTTATCCCTGTTTAGAGATGAGGCTGGTAAATATAGTATTGGATTGTTAATTAACACATTCAGTGCTGACTACATCAATTGATGTAGTCGCGCGACGAGCGCTCCAACCGGCCTACATATATTGATGTAGTTGCCCAATCCCCACTACAATTGTTCAGTATGAGCTCAGCCATTGCCGGGGAACGTAAAACCGTTGCTAGCCTATAGCTTAGAATGTGAGCTTTATTTTGGTGTAGGTTGGTAATAAAATTTCCCGTAAAATCCCGTCTGACAATGCTTTTGTCCCGGTTTTGGGTATTTTCTCTCTTCAAGCCATATTACAAGGCCACTGACTACTGATCCAGGCAGTGCTACTACCTTTGGGTGTTTTAGGGATCTACGTCCAATCTTGTGGTAACGTAGTACAATCACCGCTGCTCTTTGTTATTCGTCAGATTGAAATATTTGAATGCCAATTGCGTTTGCTGTTACGTGCCGCGCCGGGGCTTTGCCTGGGCCTTGCCGCCATTGGCGAGCGCCTGTTGGAATGCCTGCCGCACTAAACGTGTTAAGGATGCTATCCAGCACACAATAAATTAATTATGTTAGGCCTGTAAAATAATGGGGCTTAGATAGTTCCTGTGCAAAAAAATTACAATAGCATTGAAAACACCCAAATGCAACTGGTGTATAAGAGGAAGTAAAAACTAACTTCATTTTTTAGACTGAATCACACAGAAATGGTCAACAGTCTATGTGAAGTGTGCAGTCATTACAAAGAAGGGATTGTTTTCGCCATTGTTGACGTACACAAGAAGAAATGTAATGAGTAAGTTTATTTATAACACATTTTGTTTCTTGTGATAGCTAAATATATCTAATACCTTAACTTTTTTTAACAAAAGAACACTTGGCTAAAAAAAAAAAAAAAATAAAAGTACCCAATTTTTGAGAAAAGAGTTCTAGCCAAAGAATCCACTTGTGGGTAAGCCAAAATTAAAGGTTAACTTCTTATAAAATATTGTATCATCTAAATAATATAATGTATCTTTGTATCAAATATTTTTAATAATCTGTTACACGCCGGTTATTCCAGCATCTGTCTGAGGTTTGAGGAAGTGATGCACCGGGCTCTGTTTGTCCCCCAGACTACAGAGGAGTTGCTGGCGCAAGGCAAGTATATGCTGTGGGCAGCCACCAGCTTCATGGCTCAGATGCGCCAGGAGATTCTTACACTGATACAGTACGAGGGCAGACTTCTGGACCTGACGCCGTTCTCTACACCTCATATTGACCTGGTCACGACCACTGTCAAATGGCTTCAGAACATCAAGCCGGTGTTTGACCAGCATTCGAGCGTAAGTTGCAGCTTTTTGAGTTTCATGTTGGAGTATAATAGATTAGTGACTGACTAGTTTAGTTGTTATTTAAGTTATACAAGTTTTCATAAAGTTTTGGGACATGGAATCTGATCCCTCCCTCGGTTTAAAGGTACCCAAAACACAAGATTGGCTTACAAAAACCCTGCCAACTATAGAAATTCACTTAAGAAGTACCAACCAGAGAACTGTATGGTAGTCGACAACAGTATAAAAATCCATCTTTGACTGGGTTTGTGTTCAAAATAGGCAAATTCTCACCTGATGACTGATTCCAGATCATGAAACAGCATGAAAACTAGTGTGACACTAATTGTGATAGAAAATGTCCACGACAATCACTCAAATAACTTAATCTTAAAGTCAATCAAATAACAAAATTAACTTCAAACGAATAAGTTAAGTTTGCTTAAAGACGACAACTGACTCGGGTTTTATTTTAGTCCAGACACATGTTTTTGAGTCTAGTATGGCTTGCCTTGGCTCAATCAGAATCAAGCTAATGGGTCAAGTTTACATAAATTTTTCAAAACTTTTCGGAATCCAGCAAAATAAAAATAAAATAGTTTGGGCAGGCAAAACAACTTATGTTTGCATTTACTTATAACAAGCATGGTCCAACTTGAATCGTGCTTAAAATAAAATTGGATTGAGTAGTTTTGTAACTTAAGTGAAAAAGAGTTAATTTTGAAGTTCATCCATAATATATAAAAAAAATTTTTGAGAAACAACCTCCTTATCCTTAACAACCCCAATATGAATAATCTTCTCAGAAAGTATTTATTTTTGTTGGGATAACATATTTATTCCCTTAGTTTTTTTATTGAAAATCAGTAAAGGTTGTATTTTTATAAAATCATTAGTTTTAGTTATAAGTTGTAACTGTTCTTTTATAATTTTGATCCTAACAGACTTTTGAAGCAACCAAGTTTGAATTGGAAGACAAACTCCGGGACACGACAGATAAGTTGAAAAACGATATTAACAGTTTTGCTGACACTCTAATCTTTTTTAACAACATTGATGATACCTCCAAAATATTTGATTATGTTCAGGTAATCAACATCCATTTTAAATATTGTTGTACTACATGTGTAATTAAGTTTACAGGAAAAAACCGCAAGATTTGCATTATAATTGATTTATTATGAGTCAAAACGTGTAAAATATTTTGATGATTTAAGACAAATTTTGGAAAAACTGTTTGTACTTACGCCCCTTTTGTATTGTAAATGAATGGAAAATAATCTTTTGCAAATATAAATTCATTACTGTAAGAAAAATCTCATAAATTCATTACTGTAAGAAAAATATCTCATCAGTACTGTATTGTAAATCACAACAATATACAAAAATTTTATTCTGTACCGGTACACACAATTTTAGTAGAAAACTTTATATTGTTATAGTGTGTAATGTTTTCATTTTCAGAAGAATATTTTCATTTTAGACTGTACATTTACACTATAAAATAAAAATATTCTTTGCTACTCTGAAAATTCTAAATTTTGAGATTGTTTTGTTTTTGCAACTCTCAAAATAAAGTTAAAAGGCACATAAATTCTGTGCAACATATTTGTGTGTATGGTAAATCTAATTTAAAAATTAGGTAGTACAGTTTTTAAATTTGAATAAAACAACAAACGAAAACCAGTTATTATAGCCTTTACAAATAAATTAACGATAAGGCAAAATATTTTGAGATTTGAGTTTTGTTTATTTTATTTTTAAAATTTTCAGTTCATGCAGAAAAATCTAAGGATAATCGAAGGTTTTATATCAACAATAGAATGGATTAACAAAGAAGAACATCTGTTTAACTTTGCAATTTCCTCTTATCCTCTTTTAGAGGAAATAAAGGTAAGCTATATGTAAAATATAAATTTAACTGCCATGCAAATATAAAAAAAAAAAAAAAAAAAAAACTGTCAGAATCAATATGGCGAATTTTACAAACTTGTTAACTAATATTTAACAGAAAAAGTGCATCCTTACAAATAAAAAATATTGTTAAGTAAATTTCATTTGTGATTTAAAAATAAAAAGATTGTGTTTCCGCCCGGGATCGAACCGGGGACCTTGTGCGTGTGAAGCACACGTGATAACCGCTACACTACGGAAACTTGGTATCCTGAGCTGTCAACTAATTAGACAAGACAGAGTTAGTATTGCACTGCCATTGGGAATAACTGGTTCTTATATCAATTAGAACATTTAATTATAGATGCTAATATTATAATTTGTTTTTTCTATAATCAATTTAAGAAATTAAAACTGGTTTAGTTGTCTTTGTTTACTTTTGTGTGAGTGTGTAACAGTTTAAAAGTATGATTACAAAAATTCTCAGATGTAAAATAAACCTTATTAATAGCTAAAATGCCTAAAAAAGAAAATTAAACTTTAAAAAAATTTTGTCTTTTTCTTCTTAAGATATCAATGTTAACATCAAAAAACTTGAAAAATATGTTTGTTGCATTACTGTCCAGTCAAAAATAAACTAAATACTCTGCAAGTATTCTGTATAATAAATTTGCCACTATCTAACCTTAGCAATTCTTTAAATATTTAGATTTGTTAAGGGTAATATATCTGGACTAAATAAATAGTTTTAACTTTAAGAGTGTTTATAAGGTTTCAAGGATTGTGCTTTTGCAAGGATTACTTATTACTCTTTGCATTAAAATAACAATTATAACAACACCAATAAGCACTCCGAAAAGTAGTGGCTTGGTTCCAGCAGCTAGTTTTTCCACAACATTAAAATATTTTGTCCCATCTCACTTAATTACCATAACAAAGTTCAATAGCCTGTTCAAGGCTAACACTTCAGAAATGTTGGTGTTGTCCTTGCACTTGCCAATACAATGTCAAGGGTCTTCTTCTCCTTTCCACTCTCTTGTCAGCCTTGATCCGACATTGGCCGTTTCGCTATCGTACCACATGTCGGATTCAGGAAAAAAATTTAGTGAAAAAATGAATCATTATTAGTGTAATTTGGAGTTAAAATACTGGTAGGCTTAATGACCTGCATAGTAAATTAAGCCTAGGGCATGGGGCATGGGGCCTTAAAATGAACTTGGAAAGGGTTTTTAAGTAAGCAGAGCCAAACCTAAAAAATTTGATAAACAAGCCAAAATAATTGTTTAATCGAACATCCTGTTGATGCAAAAAACTCATGTTGGAAAGTTTGAACCAGTTTTTGAAAACTACTCTAAAAATATTTTCCAAGATTTTCAAGAATTTGCTTGAGCCATTTTGCCACATTAATTTAGATATATGGTTGATTACTTATTCATATTCTTTTAGTATAATACAAATAGCACCAAAAATATTTTGTTGTTTCAGGCTATCGTTTGCCCGTTTGCCAAATTAATATTCACATCATACAAATGGTACAATAAGAGCAAACTGTTTATGGATGGTGCTTTTGACGAGCTCATACCTGACCAAGTTGAGAGCTTTGTTGATGATAACTATAAGTATGTTGAAACACAAACTGTTTTACATATTTACTGTAATAGTACATTGAAGTTTTGGATATTACATAAAAAATGTTCTTTAGGCATTCTAAAGCTTCAACATAAAATATATTGTTTAAAAACAGTAATCTTATCATGATAAAAACTAAATGTACTTGCTAAGAGCAATAGTATTAAATATGTAAAGAATGTTATATTTTCATTGTAAATCTTTACATTATCATACATTTGTGACATTAAGTCCACGCACTTTCCAAATTAAAGTTTATCGGTACCTACATTATTTCCCCATTGACACTGCAAATTGAATAAGCTATTTAACCATATATTGTTGTATGATTAGTATTGAGTTTTATTTTGTTTTTGTCTCTGATGTGCAAAGAGCTAAACAATAAAAAATGTTAAAACATTTTCCCATATACTCTCAGTTTGATTGAAAATTAGAAATATTTTGGATTAAATTAATTGAAAAGCTAGCTTAAGGCTGAATACTACATGGAAGAAAATCTCCTGTTTGTGAAAAGATAAGGGCAGAAGAAGTTACCTGGTGAAGCCATATCATATACATTTGAAGTTATTGTTTCTTTAGTTATAGCCTCTGGGGTGTTGTTGATTGTACTAGGCACGTTTTTTAAGTAAGGGCCGTTTTTAAATTTCTTCGTTCCAGCACTGCGATTGGCATTTTCGACATTTGCGCTGTGTATGTGCATCTATTGGTAAGACATAGCCGGAAATTCGAGAAAAATCGGCCGTGTTTACATCCAGTTTCAAGCATTCAAAATGGTGCCGCCAATTGAGACTGCCGCCGACTGTGAAGTGAGCGCTGTAATTAGATTTTTTTTAAGAGCTTAAGGTGTGAAAGCCATTAAAAATCATCGACAGATTAGTGAAGTGTATGGCGAGAACATTATGAGTGTCATAATTGTATGCAAGTGGATATGGGAATTGAAATACGGTACCACGAACGTTCATGATGAGTAACGCACTGGGCGGCGTCATTACTGTCCCCGTACCCATGATGACAACCAGTGCGTTGCTCATCATGAGCTTTGGTGGGGCCGTCTTAAAATGTCCTTACCTACTTGCGTACCATTCCGTCACTCATAATGTTCTCGCCATACACTTCACTAATCTGTCGATGATATTCAATAGCTTTCACACCTTTAGCTCTTAAAAATCTAATTACAGCGCTCACTTCACAGTCGGCGGCAGTCTCAATTGGCGGCACCATTTTGAATGCTCGAAACCGGATGTAAACACGGCCGATTTTTCTCGAATTTCCGGCTATGTCTTACCAATAGATGCACATACACAGCGCAAATGTCGAAAATGCCAATCGCAGTGCTGGAACGAGAAATTTAAAAACGGTCCTTACTTAAAAAACGTGCCTAGTAGCATTGACTATTGGATACTGAAGTTGTTTTAATAGTCACAGATTGTTGAGTATGATGGCCTTGGGTGTAAATAAGGCAAACTATTTACTTTAGATTAAAAATAAAAATGACTTTGATAATATTCTAAATTTTTTCGTAGAGAACTTGTTAAGACGCAGAAGATGTACAAGGCCAAATGTAAGCTCCAGTCGTCTGAAGACTACTCTAGGAGATTCAAAGGTATTGTGGATGACCCTGATCAGGAGAATTGGCCAGCCCCACTCAAGATATGTGGCCAAGTGATCCAAAATATCAGAGACTTCAGGGTGAGAGATTTTACTTTTCATACTTTAGTTAGACAATCTGAGATTTAGATAGATGGTTGTGATTCTAAATTAAAAATATATTTTTCAGTTTTGAATAATTTAGTGGATATTCAATTAAATCCTAGAGTCATGTAAAAATCCAGCTACCAGGAGGTCAAAAATTGTGGATATTTATAGGCATACATTGTGGATGCGATGCTCCCTGGTGTGGATTAACGTCCATACTAGTGAGTATTACTACTACCCGTGGTAATATCCTGATAATTAGACCAATTTGTTAATTAAAAGGACAAATTCGCCATAAACTACAAGTTCAGATTCCACTATAAACTGTATATCTCTTAGTTGCCATTGGCTGTATGGGCTATTCAAGCTGTGTCTAAGGAACAGTTCGGCCTTAGTCACTAACAAGACTACAAGATTGCGCCATAGTCATTCTTCACTTATATTTGGGTTAGAATACGCACATAGTCCCCATCTTAAATAATTGATATAATTATGATAATTTAAAAAAGTAAATGTTAAAATTAAAAAATCTACATTTTTCCAAATTGAAAAAATCTGTAATAATTAGCACTTTTTCCTCATAAACAGGTTGTAGACTTTGCAGATAATCATGACATATAATATTTTTAGAGTGAAAGCTCTTAGTCCTCAGCACACTAGCAGCAGTTTTAATAGTGATTTTATTTGCCTTTGTACAATTAAACCCCAATAAACCAAAATATAGTTGGTGAGGCCGTTTTGGATTACGTATTTTTCTATACAGTAGATATAATAGTAGTTGAAATTCAGAGGTTATTTCCGCTCAAAAACATAGCTACAGTCGTTTTTACTCAATTTCAATTAGGTAATTTAATTGTATAATTTACAACTATACACTAGGCTATATCTAATTTTAAAAATAACCTTACCATTTTTAAAGTTTATTCTTTTGCCTTGCTATTTTTCCAATCTGTTCATATTTGTTATATTATCTGGTTTCGGTTAACCTGAGTCTAAGTTGTACAGGTTGCGGTTAAGAGGGCTTTTATCGTATAAGTGTTGGCTTAGTAATACTACTCATAGTACTTACATGCTTAGTTTTAATTAATTTACGAGATTAAAGGCAGTTAAAACCAGTGAAACAGTAAAAACAGTAGAACATTCTAGCAATATAAACTTGAATCTTTCCAAATTTATTTATTGTTTTACGGTTAAGCTAATAAGCTATATGTTACAGCAATATCTTCAAGTGGTAGGAATCATGTGCAACTCAGCAATCCGAGACAGACATTGGCAAGAGATGTCGTCACTGGCTGGCTTTGACTTAACACCCAACGCGGGAACCACTCTTCGGAAAGTAATCAACTCCAACCTAGATCACTTGTTAGACCAGTAAGTCAATATACTGCTAATTCTAGACTCTTTAATAGTTTTTGTAACAAAATAATGTTTAATCATTTTACATTTTTTAATTTTTTAACGCCCATATGTTTAACAATGGACTTGAAAAAGTATATGAGGCTTAAAAATTCTCGCTAAAGTAGTTAAACCTAGACTGGTGTCTTCGGTTTGTGTGTCCGATAGCGTGATAACTCGAGCAAAAATGATCCGATTTTTTTTAAGATGTCACAACGGTTACGTAGATGATTAAAAAATTGTAAATTTAAAATTACTATGTTATTCTTATGGGGTAAATAAACTGTTGTAGTTTGCTTGTTTATGGATATATCTTAGTCAAATTTGGCAATTTTGTTTATTTCATACTAAGCTATTAACATTTCAATAAAAAAAAAAAACTTCCTTTTATATCTTCCCCGTAGCAGCTAAACTAAGTACTCACTAAAATTAATGTTATTTAAATCTATATCTATAAAAGAGGAAATATGTATGTATGTATGTATGTATGTGTGTATGTGTGTGTATATACATTATGGACTCCGAAACCGCTCGACAGATTGTAATGAAACTTTCAGGCATTATTAAGCATCTTTCAAGGATGGTTCGAGTGAAGTTTGGTGCAAATCCGTTAAAAGGGCTCTGCCCCAGAGGGTTTTAAGTGGGCCAATGTCAGACTTTTTAATCTACAATGTTTACAAATAAATATAATTTAAAAGCAGATGTTTACTTTCACCAACTGTTTTATAGGTTTGAATAATCACAACACTCTGTATTAGCATTAGTCATGATTTGAAATAGTGCCACAGTGTTTCTACAGATTGCAGCACAGAAAACTATTTTACTTTTGGATAAGTCCAAATGTATTAAACCCCAATCCCAGCACACCTGTGCACTTAACAACGTTTAAATTCTCCAATGTTAAATATTAAAACATAAAACCTTTATCAAAGTACTGTATTATAAACAATAAAAGGGATGACTTTTTTAAATTTATGACAACAGCTAATTTGCAACCAAAAGGTGAGTGAGTGTAGCGAACGAACATCAACCTGGAGGCAATAAGCGTAGCGAACGAGCTAACCTGAAAACAAGTGAGCACAGCGAACGATTTCCAACCTGATGGTGAGTGAGCGTAGCAAACGAACTTCAACCAGGACGTGAGTGAGCCATGCGAATACTTATGAAGTTAAGCGGGGCAAAGCCCGCGGGTACAGCTCGTAGGAAATAAATCTGACAATTTTTTGGGAATATTTTATTATAAATCAAGCTGGGTAAATGAAAATTTGCTTAGTCTGCAGGTTTGCTGCGGCGGAGGTATTGCACTTTCCACCTATTTTCTGACTTCATCCTCTTGGATCAGAAATATGTTTAGTGTTTTTGAAGGTCTAATTGTTTTTTTTTTCAGATTTGAAATAATCAGTGCCGGAGCCACGAAGAAGATTCAGTTGCAGGTTAATCTTGCCAAAATGAAGACCGAGTGGGAAGGAATGGTGTTTAGCACCAGTCCTTACAAGTAACTATTATACTTGTCTAGCTTAATGCTTTATATTAATCTGATTCAAATGTTATCTCTAAAACCCTAAAAGTTCAATAGGGGGGGTTTGCTTAAAAAATCCAGTTTTGCTTAAACTACTACAAAACCAATATCTGGACGTACCTTCTTTAGATAATTTAATGATGATATGATTTCTTTCTGAATCACAGTAGATTGAGAGAATGAAAAATTACAGTACCATGATCTGCTATGACCCATTTCATTTTATATGACTGCCGATTTCAATATTCTTTGAGTATCATCTTCAGATCTTTACAACCAAACTTTTTCACAGGAGTTTTCCAATTAGTGGTTGGTTAAATTTTAAAATCTCTTTTGTCTTTCTTTCGTGTTAATTGCTTTGACACAACTATTTCAATGTAATGAGCCTTTTAATGGAAAGTTTTTTTATTGATATGAACTTGCCGCTATAATGGATTCAAAACTTAGAATCAAACAGGATGAAATAGACTTGCATGGCAAATTAAGGTAATTTAACCTTTAATTTACTAATGACTTGCTAATTAAAATTTAAAGGGAAATGAAATAATATTTTACATTCGGAAATGGTAAAGTGTCAAAATGGTTCAAGTTTAAGTGTTTGACAAAATAATCGATCAAATTATTTTGTTTTATTTTAATTAGATTAGAATTTTTCCAAAATAAATCGATAACACAGAGTAACCTCTAAAGAGGCATAGTAAAAATTTGATACAATTTTTATTTTCTGAGGTTTGATTTTTCAAGGGGAATCTTTAAATACTTTGAAAGAGATTTTTGACACAATAGGATATCAAAGCAATACAAAGGAATAAAACACTATTATGATTGCAGAGAAACAGAGCTTCACATTCTGACAGGATTAGACGAGATTCAAGCTCTTCTTGACGACCATCTTATAAAGGCTTTGTCCATGCGAGGCTCTGCCTTTGTCAAACCCGTGGAAGGTAGAGTTATATAGAATATTTGCAAATAGAGTTTTTTCTTGACCCCAGGACATTTTTCCCATCCCAGGACATTGAAAAACATATTTTATAGTATAGTATAGTATATAGACACTGTAGTTAAAAACTCTCTTCCTTAGTTAAAAATGCTGTCAGTGAAAGTGAAATATTCTAATTTTGTGCATATTGTGTAAAGTGTTGTGTCTCTTGTGTCATTTTGGCACTATCCTCAGTCTCTATCCTCACAAAATATCCTAACAATTTAGGCCCCTGTCCTATATGTTACATCCTTGAAATAACATTTTTTTTCACTTTGAATATGGTTTATTTCAAAACGTCTTACTTTCTGGATAGCCGTCATATTTTGCATCAAAACTTAGTTACCTGTGTTTGAAAATCTTAGTATTAAACTAAATTGTTGATATAAAATTAAAATCCTTTTTTATTGAGGCCAACTGAGAACAAGGTCCTTTCTCACAAATAATCTCAATAAGAGTAATAATATATATTGTTATGTAGTTCACTGCCAGTGATTTTTATTGAAAAATGATAGGAGATTTTATTGTACTTGTTTACAGCCGAAGTGAAAGAGTGGTATGCCCTCTTGGACAGGGTGAACAGAACTATTGAGGAGTGGGGTAAAGTTCAAGTCCAATGGATGTATTTCCGACCCATATTCTCCGCTAAGGATATCATTTCTCAGATGCCAGAAGAAGGAGTTATGTTTAAGGTAAGAACAGTTTAATTTTTAGTTTAAGTGAACTATTTTTGTTTAAACACTAATCAAAAAACAATTAGCCAACCTGCAAAGTTTTCATTTATCCTAATTAGTTGTTAGTGAAACCACAAAGAAGTAAGGTACAGAGGAAACTTGGTTATGGGACGACCGTGTGCTTTCAGATCTAGTATGTTGTGCCGGAAATATACTAGTGACGAGCAAGGAAGAGCCAGAGTGGTGAGCACTGTGTGAAAATTCCTATCACACAGGGCACAGACTCTTCCTCCACTGTAAGCGTTGTAGTACATAAGGACGCGGAAAGGGGGGGGGGGCAGTGTTGGACTTTGCCAGTGCCAGTGCTGGACACCACTTATGTGTTGAATGTCTCATCTGTACCTTCTGTGGCAGGACTGAAAGGGAGACCATTTGATATATTATTAACAAAACCGCCTTTGTTTGGATACCTGAGGACATTTAAAAAATCTTACTACTTACCAGGAATCTTTGTACTGAGCTGGTCAAATCAATAAAATATTTAAGTGTAAAAAAATAAAGTATATTAAAGTAAAAATTGTTATGAGACATCGAACAATTAAGTTATTTTTTTCAAATTTGTGCTTTTAACTGAGAGTATGATACAGAGAATGGTCTGTGTAGTCTAGTGGTTAAGTTCTGTCCTGATGGGATCAAATCTTGTAAATCACAATAATGGTTTTAGTTAACCATAACTCCTTAATAATGGTTTTAACTAATAGATAATGCCATGATCTAGTGATTTTGAGCATACCTACCTCAAATTGTAGGCATATTTATATAGAAAACTAAAAAGAACAGGTATTTCCGTCGAGGGGAACTTTCTCTGTATTGGGGATACCTCTACTGAAAGCCAAATGATAATTTTAAGAAGTACAAAATAGGTTCTTGTAGCTAAACAGTATTATTTCAGGAAGTTGACACAACATTTCAAAACCTGATGAAGCAGACAGTCAGAGAGCCAGATGTTTTGAAGACAGCTGGAGCTGAAACATTGTTGGATACTCTGAAAAATTGTACAGAACTTTTGGACCAGGTCAACACTGGAGTCAACAACTATTTGGAGAAAAAGAGATTGTTTTTCCCACGGTAGGTTAATATATCACTTTCTTTCATTCAACAAAAATAATATGTATTAGACATTGTTTGAATGCTTAATTAATTATTGTGCTAAAATCGCTCTTGGTGGGAGTCGGGCTGGATCACATACTCTTACAAATGGATTAGAATTTACAAGTTTGATCCAAATTTGGTCTATCGAAAAAACTGGATGGGATTTCTGATTTAGGCCACAAAGACCACAGTATCTACTTCTCAATCAGGAAGTTCCTTAACAATTTTTAAAATTCTGTATACCAAATCTTTAGTTTAATTGAAATGTAATACCTCAACTTTTTTTGTTTTTTACAACGTTATTCCAAAACACGGGACGGAAATCCAAAACATTGTTGCCTTGGTGTCACTTTACGTTGTGTTACCAATTGTGTATCCAACTCCCCAACTTGTTTAATCTTTTAACCTCAGGCAGTTCAGATATACAGTATTTGTTTATTACATATTGGTTGACCATTTCCTCCTGACAATCACAAACCACCTTGAGTATTTATTCTGTTTCAGTCTCTTTTTCTTATCAAATGATGAAATGCTTGAAATACTGTCAGAGACTAAAGATCCATTAAGAGTTCAACCTCATTTGAAGAAGTGTTTTGAGGCTATTGCAAAATTGGGATTCGATCAAGACCTGAACATATACTCAATGTTCAGCTCTGAAGGTGAAGAAGTAAAACTGGTTGAACAAATATCAACGGCTGAGGCGAGGGGGTGTGTGGAAAAATGGTTGATTCAGGTATTTGAAAAGTCTGTTTTAAATCCTGTAAAAGGAATATTAATGCATAATAAGCTGCAAACGGAAAAGGCTTATTATGAAGTTCTGTTGATGAAATAGTTGATAATCATAAATTAACAGACCAAGCCTCTGATCTAAAGAAATTGAGAAGAAATTAAAATATTCCCAGTGTGTTCCCTAATTGAAAATTTCTTTATTAAAAAAATATTCTGTCTCTATATTGTAAAATATTCTAGTTTCAGTTTAAGTGGAAACTTAATATTTTGTTTCTTTGATAGAAATGACCTTGTCTTTGCTTTCATGAGTTAAGATAGGCCTAATTTGTTTTCAGTTGTTTCATAATTATTTAGTAAATATTTCCTGATAAACCGACAAAATATATCTGATACTGTACAGATAAAAGGCGAATGGTTTAGCCAGTATGCAATACAGAAGGCACTGGATCAAGGTATTAAAAAAATCAAATGGAAAATTTCATATTCCAAGAACCCTAGATGGCATCAGTAGTTTTATCCAATAGAAAATCATTACATTTGCCTGTACAAATCAGAATACTTGCCTTAATCATGTAAGCGGAAGATCATTTAACACAGTTGTAACACCATGAGATACAGAAGACATTGTAAGCATATTCACTGCACAAAAACAATGAAATATACTTAACACATACATTGCAGGTTGAGGATCAAATGGTCCAGTCAGTACGCCATGAGATCCAGAAGGCATTGGATGCATATCCGACCACTCAGCGTACTCTGTGGGTTCAACAATGGCCGGGTCAGGTGGTTTTGTGCGTAACTCAGACATTCTGGACAGCTGATGTCCACGAGAACCTAAACAAGAAGTCGGTCAATGCTGTCAAGGAGTATCACAACTTTTTGAATGTGAGTTTTTAGTTTTATCACTGGTGTTTGACATTTCCTATCTATGTTCAATTTGGTTTTGACCTCTGTAAATTGGTATTGTGGTGAAGTAATTAATCAAGAAGATGAAAATATGTGTGTTAGTTAAACATGCTGATATAAATCTGGGGTGTTGAACCCTGAGGTAGTGGTTATCAATTACTTGTAATGTTCAGTTTTACTGTGTATGAAGTTAGAGACTACAGCATAATAAGTACCAGCATTAAATCGAGACAGGGGCACAATGCTGTATTTAAATCGAATACAAGTGAAAGATGGGTGTGGAACTGAGTGAGAGCTTCACAGCTCTGTTATTGACCAAGTCTAGCTGTCACTAAACCAAGATCATTTTGTTAAAAGCCCAATGATAAAGGACAGTTGGGTTCAGTTTCAAACAATCAAAAAGCTACTTGTACTGTGGAAAAAACCGGCTACCTTCTCACTACCAAGCAAACACTAACCACTCGGCTAGTCAGCAAGATCGTTTTGCAGCATATATAGTGATTTCATTATTCAACTCACAATCTTCTCAACTTAAAAACTTAGTCATTACAAGGCCTAACTAACTATGAAGAAATTGACTACAATATGATTTTGAAGGAATGACTACTGAGTTTTAGTACTCTGTCTCGATGAATAAAATACTTGAATTTCTACTGAAGACTTGTTATTCATTTCTTTGTGACAGGATCAACTCAGTGACACCATCCAACTAGTGAGAGGAGAGTTGACCAACCAAGCCAGGATCACTCTGAGAGCTCTGGTAGTGTTGGATGTTCATGCCAAGGATGTGGTTCAGGACCTCGTGGAGAAGAAGGTCACATCGGAAACTGACTTCCAATGGCTAGCCCAGCTCAGGTCTGTTGGTGTTTTCATTGTACTCTATTAAAAAAAAGTAGTTCCAAGATTTAGTTTCATCAGTCCTTTGACTATCAATACAACTAGACATTCCATCCCCATGTCAAATTTGTAGCCAGCTTTATCCAATAGTCAATGGTTGTACATCTATACTTATAAAAGGCAAAGCCCTCACTGACTCACTGACACACTCACTCATCACTAATTCTCCAACTTCCCATTTACCTAGGAGGCTGAAATTCGGTACACCGATTCTTTGGGCATTAAATAGGAAAACTTAGTAGTTTTTATTCTTATCGGGCTTTCGGGCTCCGCCCCAGTGGCTCTGGAGTTTCCCACGTTAACCTTATGATTTTTCATATTTAAAAGTAATTAATGAATCTTAACAGCTGTTTCAATTAAACAAGTTGGTTCTGTTCTATGATGTTCAATAGCATTAAAGTTACAAGGATTATTAACAGGGTGCATCACTATTATTGGTTTTTAATTTATGACAACAGCTAATTTGCAACCAAAAGGTGAGTGAGCGTAGCGAACGAACTTCAACCTGGAGGCGAGTTAGCGTAGCGAACGAGCTAACCTGAAGGCAAGTGAGCGCAGCGAACAGGCTCCAACCTAAAGATGAGTGAGCGTAGCGAACAAACTTTAACCAGGACGTGATTGAGCCATGCGAACGAGCTCATCTTGAAAATTAAGAACTTAAACGGGGCAAAGCCCGTGGGTACAGCTAGTATTTCATAAATCCCTTACTATTGTCTAAGATATTAGAATTTTTTGATTCTTTAAATGCCATCAGCCGTTTTTGTTGATTTTTTCTAGTGGAACGGTATTTAAATGCTGGGTTTAAGCTTGCCAATGCAATTTCAGCCTATTTTCCAATCCTATTTGAAACTTAATTTAAAGTTATTGGTTTCTAAAGTGGACCATATAAGGTGGTAAAACAACTTAATGGTTCATCTAATTGGCAGGTTTAGACAGGAAAATTAGTCAGAGAATGAAGTTGGGCATGGTAAAAAGAATGGATGGATTCCGAGACAAGATATGTGTGCAGTACTACATTACCACAATAAATAAAAATGGTTACAGCAACAAAATATTTTTGTTCAGAATAATGCTAGACAAATATTTGTTACTTCTTTATTTGCTGTACTTGGCTATGGTCAAAGCAACCTGTGTTAGTGTTCGTGTGAGTCTTGTACAAATGACAGTCCAAATCACATACTTCGTACTTTCCATTTTACCAGGTACTACTGGGAGGACGATACACTGGTCCGAATCGTCAATGCGACAGTCCACTACTTCTACGAGTACCTAGGTAACAGCGACCGGCTGGTGATCACACCTCTGACGGACAGATGTTACCGCACTCTAGTAGGAGCTTACCACCTGCATCTCAACGGAGCCCCAGAGGGACCAGCGGGCACTGGCAAGACGGAGACCACCAAGGATCTGGCCAAGGCTCTCGCTGTTCAGTGTGTTGTGTTCAATTGCTCTGATGGATTGGATGCACTCGCCATGGGCAAGGTGGGTACTAATGGCTGTAAACTTGTTGGAAGTTTGTTGCATGTTTATTAAACATTCTCTATTTTTCTACGTCTCTGTGTTTGGTTTTGTGTGCCCTGGTTGTGAATTTCTTGAGGAGCAAGCTGAGCTGGCCTAGTGGTAGAGTGAAGGACTTTGGTGTCAGAGGTCCTGAGTTCAAATCCCACCAATTACCAGTGGTTTATAATTAAGTGATATGCTGCAAATCTCTAGGTCTAGCCTGATGTCATGTGTGAAACGGTTTCGGGCTAGAGCATGTCTTAGGATGTGGAGGTGGGGTATAAAAAAGTAGTAAATGAGTTAGTTTCAACAGTATAAAGAAACTTGAAGAATCTTTATGTACAAAGAAAAAACATATACATATATACCTATTTTTTTGTTGCTTCGTTGCTTGATATCAACCATGATACATTGGGATGGTAATTATATATTTTTCTTACCAAGGAATTTTCTAGTTAGTATTTGTCAATTGATTCTTTTATAGTCAAATTAATTTCTTGATATTAGACCATACTGAAAACTTCCCTTGGAGTTAGCGGACATTGTTTAGCCGCTTCTGCACTATTATTGTTGTCTAGGAACAATTAAAAGCATTTGACAAAGGATTGGTCCTATATACACATTTTTCAGGAGTTGTAGTCAAGGAAAAGTTTCTACTTGGTACCCTGTTGTGTTTGCAAAGGCCAATTTGTCCCTGTATACCAAATCTCTTGTACTGAAATTCTTTAAATATTCCAAATTTAATTAAAAAATATTTTTTCTACGATTTATCTCAACATAAGGATGCACAAATTAGCTTTGGGTGAGGGTTTATCTTATGATACAACTCTCTCTACAAGGAAAAAAATGTTGACTATTGAAATTTAATTGAAGAGCATACAAATTAACATAAGAACATAAGAATTAAGATTCATAACTATCTTTTTTTCAGTTTTTCAAAGGACTAGCATCATCTGGGGCTTGGGCGTGTTTCGACGAGTTCAACAGAATAGAGGTAGAAGTGTTGTCGGTTGTGGCCCAACAGATCCTGTGCATTGTTCAGGCAGTCAGAAACAAAATGGAGAAGTTCATGTTTGAAGGTACTGAGTTGACGTTGAATCCTGCCTGTTATGTTTGTATAACAATGAACCCTGGGTATGCCGGCCGCTCTGAGCTCCCAGACAATCTGAAGGTAAATTTTTTACTAAAATTGGTGTTAAATTTAGAACTTGAAAATTATCTCTGAGTCGTGGGAGTAAAAATTAGAATTTTCATTAAATTTTTTTTACAAATTTTTTAGAGCTTTTTAATATTTTATTTGCACTATGTACTTGCAAGAACGATTAACTTCTGAATTTATCGCCCAATCTTTTGCAGCATATTGAGAAGATAGCGGAGTTTATCGTACTTGCCGTAGTGCTTGTTTTCAATGATAAAAAATCCTCAGATCCTGGTTCACGTTGTAAAGGATTTTAAATTAACGAGCTGTTCTAATTGTAACAGTGCAAGAGTTTGGTTTTAGAGACCTTGGACCAAATGTTGCCAACCACCGAAGTCTTTTAGCTTTGTGATTGATTATCCCGTAACTTGGTGTGGGGGCCCACACCAAGTTACGGGCAGGGCACATGTGGGCACATTTCTTGATTAAAAAGTAATTGGTCCCTAAGTTGAAGGGGTCTTTCTCTGTTCTGTTAAACTCCCTCTACTGATATCCTTACAGAATTGTAACAAAAAAACTGATTTTACTGTTTCTTTGATTGTTACCACTAAATCTCTAAAAACAGTCATGGTTGGAGTAACTAAACTAAAGTCGTTATTTGTATTGCAGGTACTTTTCCGCACTGTTGCGATGATGGTGCCAGACTATGCCATGATTGGAGAGATCTCTTTGTATTCCACTGGGTTCATCGATGCTCGTAAACTTTCCGTCAAGATAGTGACCACTTACAGGCTGTGCTCGGAGCAGCTGTCTTCACAGTCACATTACGACTATGGTAACTTTTACGAATTCTCAATCTAAAAATTTTCCAGTACAGTATTTGAATTATAAGATAAATAATAAGGAATTTAAAATGTTACAAAAATAATAATAATACTATTAAGGAACAAATCTACGCAAAAAACTCTCCTTTCAACATTTTTACAAAAAATAAAATTGTTTATTTATTTTTACTATAGGCCTAACAACTAAGCAAATGTGCGATAGGTTAGCTTACTTTGCTTTAATTTTTATTGTTACGGTTTTTTCAATTCTCCTAGGATGTTTTTTTAATGTAATATTTTAAAAATAATATCTCATTTAAATGACGTTTTATAACGTTTGATATTTATGTTTTGTACCAATTTATAATTTTATTGCTGATGGCAACATATTTTACTGCAGTTGATATTAATATTCTTTTATAGGAATGAGAGCTGTGAAGACAGTACTCACTGCTGCGGGAAATTTGAAACTAAAATACCCAGATGAGTCTGAAGACGTTTTGATTTTGCGTTCAATCATGGATGTAAACTTGGCTAAGTTCTTGAACCAAGATGTTCCACTTTTCGAAGGCATTGTTTCTGATTTATTTATTGGAATCAAACTTCCTACTCCTGATTACAACAAATTTATCTCTGCAATGAAGAAGGTATGCATCATAATCATCTATTGTTTTTTGTAAGTAACATGTTTGTCTTTGAAATAAAACTTTGCCTCTTAACACACTTAAGGTGAGTCAGGTCAGTGACTCAGTCGGTAGCGCAGAACTATTGAATAGGTGACAGCAATTACATAGGTTCTTGTCCTAGAGAACGCCACAATAGTATATTACGTTACTAGTCCTGAAAATAAGTGTTTACCGGACGAGTGTGGTTGTTCCCGTGCGAGACAAAGTCGAGTACGGGATTACCATACGAGTCAGGTACACACATTTTGGACAAGTTACGTACGATAGTTTACGCCATACTACTAAATCTGTACAAATCCTTATATATTTCCACCAACTAAAGGACTAAAAATCACTAGTCATAACCTATAAGAGAGGTTATGTTTTTGTTTATAACCACTCATTGCCACCTAAATACAGTATAATCAGCTGATTGGTGTCCGGTAAAACTCATTACAGTACAGTAGTACGCAATGAAACCCTATTTAAATAAGCCAGCGGCAAACAGCTGTTTTCTGGAATACTTGCGTGGGAAGTTTTTCAAAGTAACGTAGTGTGGCGTAAAATTGTTATCAGTACAGTTCAGTTTTGTACTGTACCAGCTCACCCCTTGCTTTTTGCTGGATATGAAGACGCTTTAATGGATCTTAGAAGGTGGTTTGAAATAAACGGACTAAAATTAAATCCAGAAAAAACACAACTAGTAAAATTTAATACGATACAATCCCGAAATTTCACACATAAAACAAGAACCAAAACTGTCAAATGTACAAAATTTTTAGGTTTGTATGTTGATTCAAATTTAACCTGGGCCAAGTGCATTGAAAACATATTACATAAGCTTAATTCTGCCTGTTTCCAAATGCTTTGTTTGAGAAATATTTTGGATATGAAAACACGTTTAATGATATATTATGCCTATTTTTATTCAATATTGCATTATGGGATTGAATTTTGGGGATTCTCATCAGAAATAGAAAAGATTTTTAAAGTTCAAAAAAAATACTTAAGAATAATGACATTTGCTAAACGAAAACAATCATGTAGACCAATTTTTAAAGAACTTAATATAATGACTGTACCAAGTTTAATCATTTTTAAATCCTTATTAATGGTACAGTCAAATTTTGAAAACTTATGTGCGGAGAATTTTGACCATCCATATAACACCCGTTTCAAAAAGAATTTTCAGTTTCCGATTCACCGATTAAAATTAATAGAAAAAACACCAAAATATATGGGAAAGAAATTGTTTAATAAACTGCAACCAAAATATAAAGATTTAATAAACAAAACGTCTTTTAAAAGCAGCCTTGCCTCATTTCTTGTAAACAAAATATATTATAGTATTGACGAATTTTTTGAATGATGGTAATTTTTAAATTAGCAAATATTATGTTTTATAAAATAACCCAAATAATTATTTGTAAGAATCATTGTTTATTTTTTAGTATTTTAGGTACTTATTATGATATATGATTATATTGACAATGTCACCTGTTTTTGTAGCTTATGCTATGTAATCTGTAAAACGTTTATGTGACAATAAAGATATATTTATTTATTTATTTATTTATTGTTCCACGCAGTAGCTCAAGGGCTATTTGGATGGGAAAATGCAAAAAAGTGTAAACAAGTAAAAAAAGTCCACCGATTTAATCTAGTAATGATTTTATTTCAGGTGTGTCAACAGAGGCATTTACAGCTGAGGGATTCTTTCAAGACAAAAATAATTCAAACTTATGAAATGATGATTGTACGCCATGGGTTTATGCTGGTTGGGAACCCGTTTGCCGGTAAAACATCAACACTTCATGTGAGTTAATAAAATTGATTTTTCGATGATAATTCTTATCCATAATGTAGGCCTAAGTACAATGATGCAAATTTTCTTTTCGCTTTTAGGTGCTAGTCCTTAGCTAAACTATTAATTTTTTTTTATTGTGTAAAAAAATTTAGAAGTTATCAGATGTGAACTCAAAATTTTGAAAAATGGGTAGGCCTAGTAAAATAAAAATATCTAGAGTACATGAAGAGATGCATATTTTTAACCACATACTCCATACACCCTTACAATTGCAATACAGTACGGTATCTTAAAAATCTTAAAAATATCCTGGTTGTGATTTTAATCTTTTTTTCCGAGTCGGTTCTTATTAGTTTCTAAAAATATAGTTTTTCACCTTTAAAACCAAACGTTTCAACTCCAACAAACTCATACAGTTAGAGCATTTCTCAAATAAGATAACATATTGTTTACACTGAAAAGAATCTATAGAAGTCCAAATTAACTCAAATATATATGTATGAATATAGTTATCAAATGAATATAATGTGTGATATGTGCTGTAAGGTCTCATTGCAGGTTCTAGCCGACGCTATGACATTGTTGAATGAACAAGGTGTGAAAGGCGAAGAGAAGACATATTTCACCACCATGAACCCCAAAGCTATAACCATGGGTCAGCTTTACGGCCAGTTCGATCCCGTGTCCCACGAGTGGTCCGATGGAGTCATAGCTAAGGCTTTCAGGTTTGACATTACTGCATTCATATTTTTACAACTAGCAATTTTTGTAAATTTTATAATCCTTTTCAAGTTTTTTTGTCAAATAGGCCTACAACTTTTAGCGAATTTCCCGTATGAATAAGCAATTACCGTAGCAATTTCTTTCCAAACCATTTTGTAGAGCTTAAAAAAACAAATTATTTATTTAGTACATTGAAGCATTATGATGCGCCAAATGGTTACACAAAAAATTCCAAAAAAATGTAAATTTAAAATTCGCATCTTATTCTAAGGATAATCAGTAATCTGCTCTAATTTGCTTGTTTATGAAGGATACATTGATTAAATTTCGAAAATGCATTTATTTATCACTTAACTATTAACATAAAAAAAATTACCCTCCCTGTTGCAGCAAACCCAAGTACTTGTTAAACTAATTCTATTTAAATAGGGAATAAATGTGATATTTTAAAGGATACATTTTAGTGTCAATCCAATCAGGCAAATAGAAATTCGCTTAGTCTGCAGGTTTGCTGCGGCGGGGGTATTTACGTATGAATCTTAGATTGTCTAGTGATTCAATAAGCCATGTTAGGCAGCTGCTTTTTCAATCGTCATAACTTCATAAGATCAGCATTAGTTCAAGGGTGTAGATAAGTTAAACCTGTTGATATTACTATCAGGATGACCATTTCAAATGAACAACTAGACAGTAACTAATGTCATAATTATACAGACATAACATCATTGATAACCAAATTATTGTTTTTATATACAACAAAGTGATTTATTGGCTATTTGTTATATATAACAAATAAAAATACAAGTTCCTGTTTAATGGAAATAAATATTTATTCAATCTCCAGGGAGTATGCAATGTCCGAGACCAGTGATCGCAAGTGGGTGATTTTTGATGGACCAGTTGATGCAGTTTGGATCGAAAACATGAACACAGTTCTCGACGACAACAAAAAACTGTGTTTGAACTCTGGAGAGGTCATTAGCATGACATCTTCAATGTCGATGATCTTTGAAGTTATGGACTTACTTCAGGTATCTGTTCCTCTTTTCTAAGAATAAATTTACTCGGAGGCATTTTTAAAACTATTTGTGCTTTTACAGATAAATTGTTCAGTCATTATTGTATAATGTTCAAAATTATAAGGTTTTGAGTTAGGTATCTGAAATGTATATACATTAGAGAAAGCAACTTGATTTTTGAGCCAAACGAAACATAGTCCAAAACAAGTGAATGTGCACCAAGTTAGAAAATCGAGAACTGACTTTTAGAGAAGTTAGAAAAGTTGTTAGTTTGTAACAAACTTTAGGGAATTTATAATAATAGCAGAAAGTTGGAAAAATTCACAATTTTACTGCAGTTGTGGTAGACAATGATAATGTCTCGGTGACCATTGGAAATGTTTACAATGTTGCTACAAATACAGAATATGTTCATAAATTTTTTGAGTCCGCTAAACATGATCTTGATGATCACGGGTTTAAAATAGTCATGATAACATTACACCAAATTTATGATTACTAAAGATTCTGGTAACCATATCCGAATTGCTTTAAAAACATCCAGGATACAAACCCGTTAAATTCTGTGACTGGAAAAGAGGATTACAAAAACATTAAAACTAAGATTTCATTAAAAAGTATTTTTAAATGAGTGCAAGTTTACAATTCTTGTACACTAACTAACTAATTACAAGAAGAAAAACAAATCCTGCTAACAGGCGTCGCCAGCCACTGTCTCACGGTGTGGAATGATCTACATGGAGCCTGCTACGCTGGGTTGGCGGCCACTGGTGGAGTCGTGGGTTGAGACGGCTCCTAGAGAATGGGCAGAACCTCACGCCCACAACCTGCTGGGAACATTGGACTGGATCTTGCCACCCCTGCTGCAGTTCGTCAGGAGAAACTGCACCTATCTTGCTACTGCGGGCGAATCAAACATCGTCAGGTAACAAGATAGCTTGTAAAATTGTATTTTTTAGTTATATTTGTACAACTTTGACATGCCAGAATGTGTATTTTAAGGTGAAAGGAGTGAAAGATGAATGTTGAATGGATGAGATGATAGCTTTGTTACTGACTAGCTGATTCTTTAACTAGCCATTTATTAAAAGGTCATTCGCCTATTGGTTCTGATGATTATTGTAGTGTACAATCAAAATCTATCACCACTTACCATCTTTAACATATACTTACCATCTTGTGAGTTAACAGTATAAGTGTAAATATATGTTTTAAGTGTTATTAGAAGCATTGTTATTTAATTTCTGCATTTATTAAAGTGAGAAACAAGGTGAGCTGGGAACAGTTTAGAAACCGTCAAAAAGTTTTATGATTTTACTTGGAATAGTATTGGCAACCTTTGGATCAGCATTATGTCCACTCATTCAGCTATATAACTATTTTATAAGACTGCAAAATGACAAAAACACTACCTAGGACTCTATCTATAGTAGTCAAAACAAGAATAAAATGTTTGAAATGTAGACAATAATTACTAGAAAATGCACATGGAGCTTATGAGCACACTACTGACAAGTTTGTGGAAAGTTGCAACTCAAGCGAGTCACTAGATTCCAAGCATAACCACAATCTGAAACTTATGAAAACTATTTTCCTTTTACTAATCGAAATGGAAAATGTCTGCAAAAATATCTTAAACATAAGCTCACCAATACCAAAAATGACCTTCAAACAAAGTAGGTACTGATTATGTATTTCCGTTTACCCCCAGGACCACAATCAACCTAGTGGAGATGCTGATGAGGGATGCATGTGCTACAAATGAGCATCACACACACATGCTAGTGTGGCTGCAGGCCTCGCTGTTGTTCGCTGGAGTGTGGGGTGTCGGAGGCGCGCTCAACACTGCCTCCGCGGAGCTGTTTGATACCTACTACAGAGACCTGTGGCGGGGTAAGATTCAATTCAGTCAATTATTTAAGATGGGGACGCCACTAGGTGCGTGTTTTAACCCAAATATGAGTGAAGGATGAGTGTAGGATGAGTGGCGCGATCTTGTAGTCTTGTTAGTGACTAAGGCCGACATGTTCCTTAGACACAGCTGTTACTAGCCCATACAGCCAATGGCAACTAAGGGACCTACAGTTTATTGTGGAATCCAGACCACATTTTTGGTTTGAAATTAACGAATTGGTCTAATTATCAGGATAGTACTGCGAATAGTCGTAGTACTCACTAGTGCGGACGTTAATCTACATCAAGGAGTATCGAATCCACAGTGCATGGCTATAAATATCCACAATTCGTGACCTCCCTAGTAGCTGGGTTACAGGACGATGCCACCGTCCCAGTCATATTGTGTTTGTAAATATTTTTTTCTGTAATGTCTACGTCAGGGAAGGGAATGCAATTCAAACCTCTCAAATCTGTATGCAGTATTGCTCAAAGGAAGGTTTCAGAAATTAATATACCAAACAAATGTTAACCTTCTTTTCATTTTAAAATTTAGGGCAAATAAGTAACATGAATTTAAAATAATTTTATATTTAATCAAGTAAAGTTCCTAAATATCTCATTATTTTGATTAACTTTGTGCTGGTATTTTTCAGGGAACAACCCTGATCACCCAGTCCCGGACACGATAGATCACATAGATATACCAATCCCTACCGAGGGCTTGCTTCATGACTACTACTACGCTTATCAGGGCAAAGGGGCTTGGAAGTACTGGCCTGAACTGTTGAGGGGGATGAAGTTAGAAGAGACAATCAACATTCAGCAGACTTTGGTGCCGACAGTGGATACGGCGAAGTTAGTTTGTTTTTAGGATGTAATAAACAGAGCATAAATGCCTACGTTTAATGATTTCATTAGTAAGCTTGCCTGAATGGAAAAGAATTATTCTGAAAAAGGATAGTGTTCAGGATTGCTTAGCTGAGAAAATTATAATCCAATTGTTAATTGATTACACAAATTGAGGGATCACCTAATTTAACACTGATCCTAATGCAGGATTCTTCCGAGAAAAATCCTTTACAGACAAAAATTTGAATATTTGAATGCCACTCATATCATTTTCACTCAAGGAAGTTTTGAGTTGAAGAAAGATACCCTCTTCTCCTAAGAGAAATGTATGCTTTTTCCCAATCCAAACCACACTAACCATCACCAACACTAAAATTCGTACCAGAACATAATTCAACATCTTGAGTGAATTCACTGAATAGTGTGGCTTATTAAACTTAATCATGCTTAACAATAAAAAAACCATGCTTTCATCCCAGCTTTAGCATAAACTATCACAAACACTAGAAAACTTTATCACACTAGAAAACATAACCCATTCAAAAAATCCTTCTTTGTTTAGAAGAAAATACTTTCTAAGTATAGGCCTACACAGTTTTGCATGTTGGTAAGGAAACCATTTGATGTGTTTTTTAGATATTTTCATGTGTTGGAGATGCACATACGACACAAAGTTCCTACGTTGTTAGTCGGAGCGTCAGGAACAGGCAAGAGTTTCTACATGCAGAAACTTCTCATGCATCAACTGGACTTGGACAGATTCTCTCCAGCCTTTCTCACCTTCACAGCTAGCATATCAGCCAATCTGACCCAGGTGGGGTTGCTGCAGTGTATTTGTCACTGACCATCATCATCATCATCATTGAATATACTCTAAGTTATTATAATAATCATCATGAACGTCATAGTCATCATCCTCATCATCACCATCATTGAGTATACACTAAGTTATTTTCATAATCATCATGAACATCATCATCATCATCATCATCATCAGGTCATCATCCTCACCATAATTGTCATTGTCGTTTTTATTACTGTCATCATCATTGACAGATGACAAACAGGTTAAATCCATGATAGATCATAGGTCTAGAGAAATGATAGGCTTCCTTGGTCACTGTAGATTGTCAATAATTGTAGGTCTACGGGTGATAACCGAATCCTTGAATAAGCTAAACTATAGGTAGAGTGTTTAGCTTATTTGGCCTCTAGTTTAGCTTATTCAACGACACGGTCATCACCGTCAATAGTTGACAATAACTGTCATCATCAACATTATCATCATTGACATGGCCATCATCACCGTCAACTACATCGTTATCGTCATCATTCTTCCTCTACTTCATCGACATCCAAAAAGCATCATTGTTGTTGTGATTAAATCTTATAATCATGAATTAAATAGAATTTTAAATATTTAAATTGATGTACACTGTAATATAGTTTTTCATAAATGATATGTCAAAAGCACATGGCTAATATACATTTCTGACAAAAAAAAGCTTTTTGTATTAGTGCCTAAATTAACATGTTGACGAAATCTTGTTAAAACCTCACCAATTATTTGCAGTGTGTATTTGAATAATTATAAACTTGCGTATTTTCATGCCTTAGGATTTGATAATTTCCAAGCTACAAAAGCGGAAACGTGGCGTTTACGGGCCAGAAAAGGGCAAGCTTGCTGTGATTTTTGTTGATGACATGAACATGCCTGCCAAGGAGCAGTATGGGGCGCAACCTCCCATTGAACTCTTGCGACAGTACTTTGATCATGGCCACTGGTAAGAAAATACAATTGAGAAATTTGTGTGAATATCAAGATTTAATATTGAAGGTTTTATGAATTTCCTACCCCTTGGTTTGTTTTGTTTGTTGCAAACAAAACAATTATATAAAAATGGTTTTGCAGGGAAGATACACTCATAATCTCCAATTTTGATAAAATGTGCCTTAAATGTGTAAACCAACATCTATTTATTTTAGCAAGCTAGTCAGGTCTGATCTTGGAAAGGGAAATTCAGGGGAGGAGAAGGTTTGTTTAGAACATTTTTAGTTTCAACCCGATTCTTTTATCCAAAAATATTTATACCCGAAACTGCATACAATTGTATGCAAAATTGGATTCCTTGTCGAAATTGTGTTCTTGAAGTGGTTGTCTTTTGTTCCATAATGATGAACAACACTGAACTTCACATACCAAACTTTCAATTTGAGTGTCATTAAGCTTTTTAAAAGCAACAACGTCCTTTTTATCAAGGTTGACTGGATGCCCACTTGATTCTTGCTTCTCCGACATCATGATCTTGACTGAAAAATGTGGGAAGAAGCATGACTCAGCTGAGCGTCGAGCGTCGTACAACAAGTAATCAGCCAGGACTTGGCAGTGCTTTTGATGCTTAGCTCACTGACTGTTGTTTGCCACTCAGGTCTATTGTGGCACCCTTCTTCAAATTTGCACAGCAACATACGGGGACCGATTGCATGGAATCATCCTTGAAGCTGAAAGAGTTAACAATATGTTTGCCTCCTCAGGTATGACTTGAAGGACACCACCAAGTTGTACATAGAGGACCTTCTGGTGCTGACAGCTATGGGCCCTCCTGGCGGCAGCAGACAAGATGTCTACGCAAGGTTCCTCCGCCATTTTGACATTTTTGGTATCAACAGCTTTTCTGATGAGAGCATGACAAGGATATTTTCTACACTCCTGTTCATCGGCCTGAAGGTTGGTTACTGAAAAAATTTTGTGATGATAAAATAGGTTTGGTGATTCATTTGGTATGTCTTTTTGGTATTTTTTTCTACCATGTTAACCCTTTAATCACATACTCTTACTTTGTCCACCTTTTAATCCTCAAACTTAAGTTCCACAAATTTTAGAGGAACACGCTTCTTAAAATGAGACAGCATAACTGTGATCAGGTTAACCTCTTGATCATCACCTGGCTTTTGAGAATTTTATTTTATTAATTTATTTATTTTCTATCTACGTCTTTGGCATGTTTTACATACTCTGTTCTTGTTACTATCTAACATCAAATTTTTGTTAGATAGCATCATTATTACATCATGATAGCCCAATGACAAATGGAATCTGTGTCTGGGAAATTTTACTTACAACTTAAGTTTCGTATCTTATGAATAGGCGGGTTCGAATGGTGATCCTTGGATTTCAATCAAATTCAATCTGATATTTCATGATTTTGTGAACATTGAACATTTATTTTTTGAGCGAATGTTTATGATCCAGCACAATTTTTTCAAAGTGGTTTGGAACTCATTTTGGGCTGTTGGTTCACCTATGATGTAAAAAAAACATATAGGTCTTTTATTTGATGAGAACAATTATTGTATTGTAGATCTGCAGCATAAAAACCAAAACATAGTTGACTATTTCAGTGTTCATAAAAAAAATTCCTGTTTCACGTTGGAATATTCATTCAAATTCTGATTCATAAAAATATTTCTTTGCAAGATGTTGAATGAGCCTTAAGAAAGGGGACATTGACATTAGTCTACTAGTAGGAGTGTTAACAGGGCACGGTCCTATCAGGAAACATCTCAGGACCATAGGGAGGTCACAAACAGACCTCTGCAGGTTCTGTGAGAACGAGGTAGAAACCTCAGAACACTTATGGCTGGACTGTCCAGCGTTGGCCCATAGAAGGCTTACATCTCTGGGGAGGTTATTCCTGGAACCAACAGAGATAAGGAAGCTGGGTGTCTTTCAGCTCCTGGGCTACTTGAGAAGCCTAGGGCTGTCAGAATGAATTATAGGGTGCTACAAAAGGTCTCCAGGCCGAAGTAGCTAGGGGTATGCCAATACCCCAGCCCCCACAAAAAAAAAAGATGTTGAATGTTGATATTGTTAAATGTAACAGTATTACTCATACTATTTCTGTTGTAAGCCAAACGTAAAAGAACAATACACGAGTATTTACAATTTAATTTCACAGCGCAACGGTTTTCCGTCAGATGTGATGATGACAATCAACCAAATTGTAGCGGCAACACTGGATATCTACCACAAGATCAGTGCTACACTGCTGCCAACCCCGGCCAAATCTCACTACAGCTTTAGCATGCGGGATCTCGCACGGGTCATCAACGGACATCTACTGGTCAAAAAGGAGTCGGTGGAGGATAAGAAAATATTTGTCAAGTGAGTAATTGACAGTTTTTTGATTTGGTTTAAGTTTGTTTATTGATTTTTTTAGAGATTTGAGGTGTGACCATTTAAATGGGTTAGTTAGTTGGTTTTAAATTTTTCCATTATTTTTGTTGGTGAAATAAGTTACTTTTTCTATTTAATCCATCCATAGCAATAAGGCATTTACCCATCTACTCACTCCTTGGCGTATTATCGACAGCCCCTTCAATCCCCTACATAGGATGTCTATCATCACTTACTTGCCGTGGTACACAAATCTCAGTTGATTCTTCGCCTCATGTACCAGCCTCTTCCACCCTTCTCTGTCTTCTACCAAGTTGACATTTGCACCCAGACATTGATACTTGGTCAGTCCATCTCAATTTCGGCCTTCCCAATCAAAATTTATTTTGATTTATTTTATTATTATTTTTTTTAAGAGGTTGGTGGTCTCTTTTATCCTTGCATTTGCCCGTCCACATAGACTACAGATCTGTGCGTGGAACGTATTCAGCAAAGCAAGTGGTGAGCCAGTACAGTACGAAGGTGAACTGTACTGATATGTAAGATTTTTTTTCACACCCGTCCCGTTCTCATATTCCACATTTACACTGTTGCCAATCATTGCCAGACTCTGCACTCCCCCGGACCATAAATCCAACTTACTGCCTCTAGAGAAAGTTTACAATACAATACCAAGTAGCAGGATAGGTAGTTCTAGAGACTGCCAACTAATAAAAAATTTTCTCCTTTTTCAATATTTGCAAACTTTGAAATTTTCAAACCCAGCTATAATTGATCCTTGGACCTCAAACTCCATCTTAGCAAATAATCAGTTTTAGTCAGTAACACATAACACTGCCTTTACACACGCCTTGCAGTTGTGAAACCACAAACAAGTTTATTCATCAACATCTTCAATATCAATAGTTTGAAAAAAATCTTAGAATAATTTATTAATTTTGCATAATAAATATCCATAGGTTATGGACCCATGAGATTATGAGGGTGTTCTACGACCGCCTCATTGACCAGAGTGATCGAGAATGGCTGTTTGGAGCCATAAAAAATGCAACCCGAGAACATTTCAAAGAGAATTTTGATTTGATCATGGCTAATGTCATTCAAGATAGGGAACGCAAAAGTGTAAGTATCATGTAAATGTTATTGTATCATTAAAATTTTATTGTATCAAAAATTAATTTCGCTTGTAAGTTGAATGATATAAATTTTTTCCACAAAAATTTACTTAAAGTTGAATGAAATAAGGTATTGAATTTATACTAATAATACAGTGGAATTTAAAAAATTGAGGTAGCCTAAAAACCTTTTGAGAGGTAAAACCAAGAACCGCTCTTTCAAATTATTTCCCGTCCTTTCATTTCTACTCTCAATTACTCAACAAAAATGAGAAAAGTTTAGGAATTTTGTTTTATTCCAAAATTAAATGCACTTAGAAATTGTTTTAAAGTAACAAAATATTCTCTAAGAGAAAATGTTTCCCTAAAAAAAGAAGTCCCAGTACATGTCCCTCATTTCAAACTCTCGTTATACAAAATATAAAAAGATTTGTCATAGTTTTCTACTTCTTTACATTGGATTTGTTACTTGCAAAAACTTCTGAATCATTTGGCTTTATAAAAGAAACCTTGTATTTATAATAAATAACAACATTTGTCTTGGCCGATCAACATTCTTACAAGAAAGATTGAAATTATTTTTGAGAGAAGTTAAAAAGCATATACAGTATGTGCTACAAGTTTATTGAAAACATTTTCAAGGAAATACTCTAGATTCTAGAGTAAAAATAAAAATATCACTAACAAGGAACCAATGCTATCATTGAACCTTTCAAATCATTCCGTTACAGGTTGTAGATGCAGATCTCCAACATTTGCTGTTCTCTACAGCTCTTGATGTAGATGCTGAGGAAGATCGGAAGTACGAGGAGTTGACGTTAGATCAGCTGAGAGATGCCGCGGTGTTGATTCTTGATGAATACAACGCAACTCATAAACAGAAGATGGACATCGTGCTGTTCAGGTATATAGGTTACTAGCAGTTACCCGGCACGCGTTGCTGCGCTTAACAACTATTATTGTAAATGGTAATTTGTTCTTTACGATGAATAATAAAAGTGTGTACCAAAAATAAAAATAGAATATTTTACTTAATTGCCAGTGAATAGGGCCTAAACAATTTTTTTTTGTTTTTTCTATAAGTTTTTAGACATACCTACCACCACGTGAGCACGCAACATACAGCTGTCCGTGTGAAAAGCATGCATTTTCAAAATTTAAACCGACGATAGTCAGGGTTTGCCCTAGTGCCTTATAATGGTGATTGGGAAAGAAAGACAAAAAAAGGAAATTGTAGTTGCTTCAATTCAGAGGGTAATTTGGATGAAATCATCAGTATTCTTGGGATTAAGACTATTTCTCCTTTTAAGTGGATTTAAGTTTCGCATTAGTATTAATGGAGTTCCTTCTTTTAATGCCAGTAATGGCATTTGAATACCTGAGATAGCACGCACGATTATTATTCACTTAATAATTTATGTTAGATTGTGTGGGTATAGAACAAAAGATAAAAATATTAAGGCATTACCATCCCTTTTATTGTTTATAATACTTTAATCAAGGTTTTTATGTTTACATATTCAACATTGGAGAATTTAAACGTTGTTGGGTGCACAGGTGTGCTGCGATTGGGGTTTAATATATTTGGACTTATTCAAAAGTAAAATAGTTTTCTGTGCTGCACTCTGTAGAAACATTGTGGCACTATTTCAAATCATGACTAATACAGAACGTTGTGATTATTCAAACCTACAAAACAGTTGGTGAAAGAAAACATCTGCTTTTAAATTATATTTATTTGTAAACATTGTAGTTCAAAAAGTCTGACATTGTCCCACTTAAAACCCTCTGGGGCGGAGCCCTTTTGACGGATCTGCACCAAACTTCACAAAAACCATCCTTGAAAGATGCTTAATAATTCCTGAAAGTTTCATTACAATCTGTCGAGCAGTTTCGGAGTCCATAACGTTCAAACATATATATATATATATATATATATCTATACTATTATATAAAAATCTAATGGTGTCTGTCTGTATGTGTATTACTAATAGGTACAAAAACTACTGAACCAACTGGGCTTAAATTATACAAAAATATAGCTACCATACCAAGGACCATTATAGGACTATTCACATTTCGATACTGACCGTAGGCTTTACCCCTTTGGCTTTAAAAGTTACTAGGTGATAATTTTAAGGCTAGGGCCACACTTGGCGACTTTGTCGTGGCGACTTTTTTTCGCGCGACTTTGTCGCGACGACAAAGTCGCTGGGGGTGGCCACAATAGGCGACAATTTCAACCTTTCAGTTTACTTTTTTACCATACCAGTAAATAGGGTTTCGAGATGTTATATTGTATTTTTTAAATCGTGTTATTGATTATGGAAATAAATAAGGATCTATGACAGTTTTTGTATGTTTTTGGACGATCTTAGAATACATCGATGTTTTTTACTATTATTTGCAGTATCATACAATTGAAGCGAATCTTTTACAAATTAAATCATATAGTTACAGTATTTTCATACGTGCACCGGTGCCTCTTTATATTTCGTATTAGGTCACGGAATAGTTTTCTAACCATTTACCTGCAACAACAGAAATAAAACTTTTACTAAATAAGTGTTAAATTATGTTTCTGAAACCAATGTGGACGTCTAAATCGTCAAATCACAGTTTAATGCTTGCTGTTGCTATTAATTGTATATATCTAAATACCCCCGCCACAAAAAACCTGCAGACTAAGCGAATTTACGTTTGTTTGGCTAGATTACCACTAAAATATTCACTTAAACTTGTCAGATTTATTTCCAATTTAAATAAGATGAATTTGAATGAATGCTTAGGTTTGCCGGTACAGATAAGGTAACCTAATGAGGTGTGCTTGTTAATTTAAATTTTGATAGCTTATTAACTGTATTGCCAAATGTTATTAAAATATATCCATAAACAAACAAACTACAACATTTTATTCTCCATAAAAACGGGTATTATAAATTTTCAATTGTTTAAATAATCTCCGTAACCGTTAGGCTTACAACAACGCTTAAATGTACAGAATTATTGATTTTTTAGCTAAAACCGGGTTTTCCTAGGCGCTGAAGTGGAGAGCGGAGAGAGGAACGCGGAGAGCGGGCTCCACTTGTCTTAGGAAATTAAATGTTACTGTTTTCCTAGAAGCGGAGCGGAACACCATGTTAATCTCTTTTCCGCGATTCGCGGACCGAGGAGCGCACAATACTTGCTCTAATGGGAGGTCATAAATAAAATCCGTAGGGGTAGGACCAAGGAGCGCAGAGGTACCTTGCGCGCCTCGGTCCTACCCATGCAAGGAACTAGTCCCCTAATTATACGGATTAAAAGAGACAATGGCTGGGTCAACCCTGCAAGTAAATCCCATTAGTCGTGCCTCATTGAATACACTACTTTAAAATGAAAATTTAAGGAGTAATTTTGAAACTATAAATATGTTAACAGAGACAATGCAAGATACTGTATTATGCATTCGAAGTAGTTATCTTAAAAACAGTTGGTTTTTGTCCTACGTCAATAAGCCCATTTTCAATGCAGACAAACTGCATATTTTTCTAAGTGCAGTTTAATAAAAATTAAATATTTATCACTAAATAGTACGGAACTAAATTTGCATTATTCTATTATAATTAAAATCATATTAGATTATTCGAGACAGCTAAACTTTCTCTCTGCGTTTCAGAACTATCAAATGTTTACATTATTTTGTTTTGCAGGTATAGTTTATGCAATTTTGAAATAGCTATTTAGGAGCAACGCATACCATTCTTGAAACTAATTCTTAAGAACAACATTATATTATGTTGTGCATTTCCGGATTAGGTGGGTGAGCCTACTGCTGAAAGTGATATTTGCCAAATGACAATGTGCCTGGGCTAAATTTACTTCAAAAAGTAGTGTTGTTTACATAGGCTTTGTTTAAATTTAAAAATACTTTTTGAATAAGAATTACTTAGGTTTTTCTGAAAGTATATAGTTAGAAATATCTGAAAATAAATCGATTATTTTGTTTAGTTTACTTTTTTAACTGTTGTATTGCCGACAAAAAAGTGTATCTAATGAAAACATTTACTCCTCAAGATCCTATAATTATTCCCAACTGTTTAGACAAGCACAAATTTGTTTAATCAGAATTTACTTGGCTATTTCCAAAGTAATGGTTTAAGCTTCGTTTAAGTGGATTTTATAGCCTCCGGATTACCAATAAATATAAACATAATTACTCTATTTTAATGCTAAATTCAAATAACAATAACCGGCACATACTCTGAAAGGAATTCTAAAAAAAGAGTAAACTACAAAAATTAAAACTTGTCTTTATTCAAGTAGTGTTACCAGTTACAAAGTAAATTATCTATTATAAAAAAATAAACTGTTGAGTCTAGAATCAAATAAGAGATAATAAGTAATGAGTAACTTACAATCAGTGACGTGGGTTTTTTTTTTAATTTCTTGCTGTACATCTAATAAGGTGACCAATTTTATAAATTCGTTACCGGTGCAGATTCCTAAAGAAAGTTCTATTCTCGGTTAATGTTAACGGTGCAATTGGTACATTTTCTAACTAATGTCACAGATTCGTGGGTAAAAATACTTCATTGGGGCAAATAAATCCTAACCAGAGTGCACCATTAGTCAGCATCCACAATGTAATATACTGTGATTTTTCTTTAAATTAACAATAACTGTTTCATCTAAATAAGGCTAACTGATTATTTCAGGGCAAAATAATCAAACTTATTTATCCAGCGAGAACAAAGTTATTTTTGAAAAACATCAAACCGTAGGCCTACAGTTTAAACATTTTTTAGGCCTATACAAACATTAGTAACAATGAATTATGTTGTTTGACGTTGTTTCATGTTGCTATTTAGACATTGTGATGACAATGTTATATTATACATCATTTGTGTCATTTAACAAACGTTTTACATGGTGACAACATAAACGCCAAATATAGATGATAATTCGAAAACTAAAAGAAAGTACTGTAATACAAATTGAGTTTAAATTAGGAAAATGATTTGGAATTGCAATAACTTTAAAATTATATGGAATTTGATTGATGCTACCATAAAGTGTTGTCTAAGTAACTTTAAAAAATTGTCCCTTTGTAAAATCTTGTTTTTGTAATATTATGTTATCACTGTTGGCATTAAAAAGTAAAGCTTACCTCCTAAGAAATGTGAAATGAATTGAGAATGGCCCGTATTGTATTTTTTGGAAAAAATATATGGGATTCGAAGTAGTACAAAATTGTCCACATAAAAAGTCATCATTTTGACACAAATACAATATACATAGTAAAATTCTGACTCCGATCCTTGCTCTCGAGTCTGAGAAACTGCAAAGTATATCAACTATATACTGTATTGGTACGTATGTTTTGTATTACCTTTTCTTTTAACAATCAATGGAAAAATAAAGTACTTCAATGGATATGCGCATTTTACATATCATAAAGAAGAGATGGTTTCTGTCTGTTGAATTTACCTATAAAACTAAGATGAAAAATTCAGGTTGTTTTTATCAATGGCCAATGGTGGGTACACGTTGAAAGCATTTAATTGTATTCATGGATTTAAATTAGCTAAGGATTTTACAAACCATTCCTGCATAAAAATTAGTATATTTCATAGCGAGGGGTCCCATTGCAAATTTGCACATTTTAATAGGGTTCAACACCTTTTCTAAGGTAAAACTAACGGTGCTATACCCCTTTCTTTTCAAAGATTATGTTTGTTTAAAGCAGTTATTAAAAGTGAATAAACTTACTAATTACAATAATTTCCATTCATTAATTTTAGATCCACACCATGAAGACTAAAGTCACCTACCTTAATCAAGTCGCAAGTATTAAAAAGTAGCCTATTTAAAATCCATTTTTATAAAATAAAAAAAATCTAAATGTGGTTTAACATTCAACTGAAGGATCAGCTTTTATATTGCAATTTAAATTCGAAAGTGAAAGTGTACGGCCTGGTAATTTGTTGATACATTAGTTTGGTAATAAGTTGCACTAGAAAAATATACCTGAATCAATGGTGTAGTCAGTGAGGTGCGACTAATGGGATTTACTCACAGGGTCGACTCAAGCATTGTCTTGTTCAACCCTCGTAAGTAGGGGATTAGTTCCTTGCACGGGTAGGACCAAGGAGCGCAAGCACCTCTGCGCTCCTTGGTCCTGCCCCGACGAATTCTTCGGCCGAGGGGTTGACAGTTTTACGACTTGCGTTCCTCTGTCCGTTTCCCCTTTTCCGCTCTCCACTCCCGCGCCTAGGAAAACCCAGCTTTACAGTTTGGAAGGGAATTGTGAAATTTATGTTTTAGGGTCAAAAATAAGAAAAACCCAATTTTATACCCCATTAAAGCCCCTTAAAGCCCCCATTCCCATAGGCTGATCATTCTGATTTGCGAGCTCGTTTGAATTAACGTTGGTTTAAACATTTGTACCAAATGTCATTAAAATCTCATAATTTTTTCTCAAGTTATCGCGCTAATGGGCACATAGACAGACCTATTTAAACATAAAATATATACACTGCATATGTATATAGATACATATGTACCTTTATATATGAATTTGAACGGAGGGTGGTTTTGCCTCTGGGGACCTCAAACCAAAAATTAAGTCGGTCTCGGGTTTAGGTCCTACCACTTAACCTAAGGTAATAGCTTATTCCCTATATGGAAAATTCGCTAAAATAAAGAGAAACCACAGGTATGGACTGAATTAACTGAAACAACAATGTTTATGGATGCCGTATTTTAATATTGTAACTTTTTTGTAGTATTTTTTGATGAGCATAGCTTTGGCGAGCTGATGACATTGAAGACGAAGTACGACATTTGAAAAATACACGAGGTTTTTGGTTTCCTGTTATACCAGAAGAGTTAAATATCATATATGCTACAGGACACATGTTAACATGTCTACACTTATTTTGTCGATACAAATATTTGTATTTTAAAAGCATATTTTCCATATCTAACAATTGCCAGTCCAAAACTAAACAATATAGATATGAAAATAGAGCAGCAAAGGGGGTGTGAGCGAGCGACTTGTCACCTAGTATGGCCGGTGCCATAAGATAACATGGGGAGCGTATTTGTCGCCGCGACCGAAAAACGCTCCTGGTCGCGTTTATTTTTCTGTCGTCGGTGGTCACTGGTCGCGAGTCGCTTATTGTGGCCGCCTCCATTTAATTTAATGCTACGCACTTTCATTCATTGACGCCGCGACTTTGTCGCCACGTCAAAGTCGCCAAGTGTGGCCCTAGCCTAAAAGTAAATATTGATTGGTCTCCATGGCTGTGATGAGGACACTAACAATGTTTACATTTGCTTTGACATTTAAATGTAAACAAGAAGAACTGCTAAACTGCATATTTCACAATTTCAGACAGCTGATACAAAGAAATTAAATATAATATTTTCCATAACTATGAGGTGACACGTTTATTTTAAAATAACCTTTTATCATGAATTATTTATTCTAAAACTATGTCAATGATTATTGAAAAAGAATTCTATAACCGTTGCTGTATCAACTCCGGCTCTGCTTTGGATTTTTTAAACCGTCTAAAAGTTATGAAAATAATGTTATTGATATGTTTTCATGGAAACAGTATTAAAATTACAAAGTATAGATGTTTCATATGAATTTGGAGGCTACTTTAAAAAAAAAATTCTAACTGCTTAACATGTGTTAGATTAACTTAACATAACTTGCACATCACATTGTTTTTTATATGTATATTTAGGTAAATTGAGTTATTGTGTTTTGCTAAACCTATGCTTAAATTAAACTAAAGAATATCATCAATAACTAAATTGTACGTTGATTTTTTTTTCAAAAATCTGTTGTATATATGTAACTATATTTAATTATAAAATGCTAATACAAAATACTCTTATTTTATCTTAACATAGCTTTCAGTTAACATTTACTTTATTTGATACATTTATTATTTGTGTTTTGCCACACCACTGATCAAATTAAACCAAGGAAAATATCATAAAACTAAGCAGTACACAGTGTTATTTTGTTTCTAAAATCAATTAAATATCTGTTACTATGTTTAATTAATGGTAAGTGTTAAAATGTAAAGGCAATGGACGATGGAACTGATTAAAAAAACGAGTTTGTATATTAAGTTGTTTGTTGATATTTTTGTAGAGTAGAATCAGAGATGCAATGAAACATATACTGTATTTGCTATTACATTTTTTTAGCACTTGATGATTTAATAATCATATTAGTTTTGCCTGCTGTCTTTAATGCTCAGTTATTTGTTTAAATTTTTGTATAGTACCTAGATATTTTTTCTTTAATATTTCAAAAAACTGTATCGATAAGGCACAGCAATATTTCTAAAGTTTATAACAGCTGACTTAGTTTTGCTAATGATTTATTGTGAGTGAAGAAACTGAACATGGAAGGATTTGTGATTTAATATAAAGAAGAGTGAAATTTAACAAAATGTTCATTAAAATTTTATAATTAGTATTTTTGCAACTTCAAAATTGAAATTTAAAATGTCAATAATCAATTAATAGATATGTAAGATGAAGGTAAATCATGTATGTCAAATGTTTTATTCGAAGATTTGGTAAGTTTTTCTCATATCAGCCTACGCAAGATTTAAAATTAATCAAAACCAAAATGGTGGTATCCGCTACTTGCCAGATTTAAAAGTCGTATAACTTAAACGTTTCTATTAAGGCTATAAAAGTTGAATTTTGTTTTTAAAAGCGTTGGCGGATGTGTAACTATTATATGCAACAGATGTAAAGATTAAAATGTTTCTATTTTGTGTACTCTTCCCGTTGCAAAGCACGGGTACAACAGCTAGTATATACATACAAACTTCCTCTTTTATAGATATAGAAGATTACTTTGTCAGAATACTTACTGTAATTAATTTTAACTATGTTGCAATTCATATTTCGATTGAATCATACAAGGGTAAGTTTGAAACTGAAAAAAACAATGGCTTTATTACTGATTGAATTGTTTGCTAGGTTTCAAACATGGTGATAACAGTGATAGCCTGTGGAAATGTATAGACCTAAGAGTGTTTTTTTCCTTAATGTTCCATCTTCCATCCTAGGGCGCTAGGTTCTAGCCCGGAACTGTTCTACACATTACTTCAGGCTAGTCCTAGAGGGTCGTGGCATTATCATATGGATAAAATGAATATCATACATATCATAACTTCAATAATATACCTGTAACCTTTTTTAAGTATTTGAATCCCTAGCTTCACTTACTACTTTTTTTTCAAATATGGGGTGACTACCTTCTTTAACCTAGTGTTTGCCCTTCCACATAAGCCTCAGATAAATGTACCCGGCAAAAGCACAAGACGAGCAAACCCAGCACACTATTGATCTGCTAGTGATCATTAAATTTATTAGCATGGAGATTTGAATTATCAACATTATAATTACAATTTCCATCCCTTACTGGCTCTTGATTTTCCTTACATGTGTAAATATAAATAACAATAACAATCTGCTGAGTCTATACTTGTTTACAAATGGTACTTTTTCTTATAATGCCGTGTGCTACAGATGTTTCCCTAGGTATACTATATGTGTGCGCCTGTTCCAGGTATGCTCTAGAGCACCTGTCCCGTATCTGCCGCCTGTTGTCTATCCCAGGCGGGTGTGCGTTGCTGGTAGGTGTCAGTGGATCTGGTCGTCAGACTCTTACTCGCCTTGCCGCAGCCATCTGCAACTTTAACGTTTTCCAGCCTGAAATCACTAAAAACTATGGTACGTTCGTGTAATGGTGTTTTTAACTTTTGTTCACCATTGACTACAACAGAACCTCGTTTATTTATTTTTTTATTTGTGTTTATGCTATTAGTATGTTTAAAGATTTTTACAAGGGAATGGTCCAAACCCTGGTCTTGATCTGGTGTATTTAACTTCATTAGATAGCACCGCTAACTTAATTGATAGCCCATTGACAAATAGCATCCGGTCCAAAAATTATCTCTTAGTCTGGTAGGTTCAGGATTTAAGCAGTGCAGGTTTACCGATAATGTCGGTTTATTGAGCGTGATTCTAAAAATCCATAATTGTGCTCCACTAGCATGATAGAGAGTCTAAGGACATTTTTTCTTGTACAGTACACTCAACCACGGCTAATAGTAAGAAAACTCTCTTAATCAATTCTGGGAGGGTAAGTTAGTGTAAACAATCTCCTATGACTACTGCTGGGTTGTTAAAATGTTCCAGATGCAAATTTAGTACACAAATTAACAAATTTAAATATTGTAAACTAACTTGATCAATGCTAATTTCAGGCTTCAATGATTGGCGAGATGACTTAAAAACTGTAATGAAAGAAGCTGGAGGAAGAAACAAGCCGACTGTCTTCTTGTTTACCGAGGGACAGATCAAAGAAGAATACTTCCTCCAAGATATTGATTCTTTACTCAACTCTGGGGAAGTGCCGAATATATTTCCAATTGATGAGGTTCAGGAGATTTTAGAGGTACGTTTTGTGCAATTATAAATGTAGTTGTATCAAGATATTTTTATACAAACAAATACTAAACCTCCTTATAGTACTAGTTAAACTCTTGATTGTCAAGTATGACAACGTTATAAGTGTAGATAACTTTTCTAAGTTAACCTAATTGTTAACTCTTTTACTGACTGATAACTTAACAGGTTTATGTTTATAATATAAATCGGAAGTGAGTGGGATGCACATGGGGACAAGAACGCTTTCCCCACAACTGTCAATTTGTTGTTTTTGTGCAGTCATTTAAAAAATGAATTAGCTTTGGATTAATTTAATATTTAATATCTTGTAAAGGTCTCTCAGTGTTGTTTGGAGCCCTTCCCTCGTCTACCGCATGCCATCCATAAGTGACTCATTTTTTAATAAACAATAAGTACCGGTAATTGTTCCTGTAATTTCTAGCAACTAACCAAAAAATTACAAAAGTGTATTAAGTGGAAAAATTGATTTATCACTAAAATCTCAAGTTAAACTTAAATTTATGACATCATTTCATTTCATTTACAGATGGTTCGTTTAGCAGCCCAAGGTGGCAACAGACATCTTGATGTCAACCCTCTTGCAGTTTATTCTTTCTTCACCAACCGCTGCAAATCTAATCTTCACATCGTTCTGTGCTTCAGTCCGATCGGATCGGCCTTCAGGCTTCGACTTCGGCTTTACCCGTCTTTAGTCAACTGTTGTACAATCGACTGGTTTGAGGTTAGTTGTCAGTTATTTAACATTATTAATTTTTATTTCATGAAGGGTGTTTGTGTATCAACTACATGAGTTTGATATTTTTACTTTGCTTTAAAACCATTGCATTTTGAAGGGTTAATGATGAAGTCGTTTATTTTTCAAAAGTCTGATATGAATGTTAGAGGTTTAATGAGCACAGCTTGGTGATACCTTAAAGTTTTGTGTTTTGGTTACTATGTTGTGTTTTTGGCATACACAATGTCGTTGGTGTCTTGAGTTTTGGAAATGTCCAAATTAATCAATACAATTTGTCATTAGATTGACCAAATAGAACTTGTCTAAAGACAGAACCTTGGGGTATACCTTGAAGTTTACGATAAAACTATAGGGGGTTTTGAGGAGTAGATGATAGTTGCATAGTTTATTATACTTAGAAAATCAACTATATGTCTCCTTCCACTCAGGTAGTCCACAAAAAATTTCTTGCTGGACATAGCCCTTAACTCCTACATTCAGGTTGGTTACTTCCAAGTTTGTGAACTTAACAATCAAATGCATTTCTGTAGTCGATATCTGTAACATGTACTAAATATTTATCCAACCAAAGACATTGACACTTCCTATCTCATTCAGTGTGATGTCTGATATTTGACTTAATGAAAGTTTGGTTCAGGCGTGGCCGGAAGATGCTTTGGAAAAAGTCGCAAACCGCTACCTGATGGAGGTTTCTGTAGACGACCATGTCAAAGAAGCTGCTGTTTTCGTCTGCAAACACTTCCATGTCACTGCCAGGTCTGTTTGGAGATAATAATTCACTTATATTGGATCAAAATACTTTATCATCATCAAATTGTCAAAAAAAGTTAATTATAAGATTATAACACATAATTTTGTAATGGATAGCTTTAAAAGGCTTACCTCACTCAGGAAAATAGATTAAAATCAAAATGCACCTATAAACATATAACACGTACAATATTTTTGAGCTACTAGCTCCTTCTTCAGTAGTATGCACAACCTACATGAACGTAGAACGACTCTACTATTGAAGAAGGAGCTAGTAGCTCTGAAAATTCGATGTTTTGCGCGTTATTAGTACATTTCCATCTCTTTTGTCAGTAAGGTATACCTGCTGTTAAACCTATCTATTACAAACTATTTAAACCCCTGGCCTAAAGCCATCTTCACCTAAATTGCCATTCTACTTATAACACAGTAGTTTATGTTTCCTCCTTTTACATAATCTTTTAAGAAATCAATCATTTTGACTACAAATAATAGTATAGTATTGAACAAATGAACTTTGTTAAAATGATTTTAAAATGCATTGTGTAAACTTCAATCTTCTAACTCTTACAACATTTTTATTTGGCTTTTATTGCAAAAATGTTTGCAAAAATCTCAATTTGTACTTTCAACCATCAGCTTAGAGCACTGTGTCACTAAAAGCCATTATGGTGTTTGGAAGGATTTGAACCTTGGTTCCTGAACAAAGTCCCGTGCTTTTACCATTAGACTAGACACACTCAAGTCAATTTTGTGTGGTACTGTATTGCAAGTAATCTATACAGCTAGATCTCACTCAATAATCTGGTTTATTTGTATGTCTGGTAAACATTTTCAGAAACATGAGTGAAGAATTTTTCAAGGCCACTGGTAGAAAAACATACATAACTTCAGGATCTTATCTTAATCTCATAAGGCTGTATAGTTCCCTCGTGACGGAAAAACAGAATGAAGTAATGTCAGCTAAAATGAGGTATGTTGGAGGCTTGGATCAGCTGGAGTTTGCTGCATCTCAGGTAAGTTATAGTTATTATATTAACTATTATATTATATTATATTATTATATTACCACTCATCTCCATTCATACTTGGCTTAAAATATCTACATTCGTAAGGTCACCATTTCAAAGTAAAGTATTAAAGTATTTTGTACAATACCTCACTGGTAAATTACTTTAATATTGACAAATGGTTTTATACAATTTTAACCAATCACCTGCAAAACAGCTGATTTTCGTTGCCTCCCAAAGAACTGTTGGGAATAAAGTAAACTACTTCCCCAATGGTTTAATTTAAACCGTGATCTTTTCACCTTGTAGGTTGCAGTGATGCAAAAAGAGCTGGAAGCAAAACAACCGCTGTTGAAGAAAGCAGCCGTGGAGACAGCGAAGATGATGAAAGTGATAGAACAAGAGACGGAGCAGGTGGAGAAGAAGAAGGCGGTGGTGAAGGTGGACGAGGAAGCGGCTCAGGCTCAGGCGCAGGCGGCAACAGCTCTCAAGGCAGAGTGTGAGGCAGACCTAGCCGAGGCCTTGCCTATATTGGAGGGTAATTTTTTGTTTGTTCATCTTACTGTAGTCCCTTATTTCACATTGCTAGCCTACTATGTTTTTAAAAATTTAGTTGTAGGAAATTTAAAACTCATCGTCAGTTTTTTATGAAACATAGTTTTTTGTTTAAGTTTGATTAAGTCAAAGCAGAGTCTCAAACCTAATTAGTTTTCTGTGTTTTCCATTTTTTTTCTTTGTTTTTTTAACTGACTTAATTTATATGGAATAACAATGCTGCAATTCAGCATATTGTTATCCTATTGTTGGAACTCATTCCTTGTCTAATCCCAGATTCGTTATAACCCTGAGATTTGCAATATGATTTTGTGTTTCCATAAAGGTATTGAATCATTTGTGACTTTTCTAAATGACTTAATTAATATCAGCCAAAGCGTGATTGATTGTCAACAGCAATTCCAAGCTGTGAAATTTGGTCACTGTTGGAGAATAGGCACGGAAACTGAACAATATCAGGACTGTATATAGTATATTTGTAGCTAACCTTGTATGTTTTACCCTACAGACGCTCTGGCAGCACTGGACACTCTAAAGCCAGCTGATATAACTCTGGTGAAGGCTATGAAGAACCCTCCTGAGATGGTTAAGCTGGTCATGGCGTCTGTGTGTGTCATGAAGGGTATCAAGCCAGACAGGGTACCAGATCCTAAGAGGCCTGGCAGAATGGTATATTTATATTTAAAGTAAAGGTTTAACTATGTTTAGGTAGTCTACGTTTAGTCTGTAGACTTAGGGATTAGAAGATGAATTCTTAAGAAAACCTCTGAAGATGCCACACAAGGTGGCGAAATGCATAGTGTAACACAAACATCTTACCTACAAGAACTCAGGTAACAACAAAAATGTAATCTAATTTAATTATAAATAAAATGATAAATAATAAAATATAATTCAAGTTCTTGAAACTGGGATGGCAAAAAAAATATTAAATGTTCAAATATTTTTGTCTAAGATATTTATTTAATGTAGTTTTAGTCCTCTACCCACCTTTTTTCTATGAACATTTATAATTAACTTTACCGTTATTTGTAGATGATGGACTACTGGGCTCCCAGCAAGCGTTTGCTCGGAGACATGGGGTTCTTACAAGGGTTGAAGGACTACGACAAGGACAACATCCCCAATGAAACAATTGCTGTTATCAGAAGAGACTACTTGTCCAATCCATTGTTCAGGCCGGAGGTTGTGGCTAAAGCGTCCAGCGCTGCGGAGGGATTGTGCAAATGGATCATTGCGCTCAGCAAGTACGACATCACGGCTAAGGTGAAATTTTACAAGAATGTGTTTTATGACATATTTTATGAGGAACATGTCAGGTTACAGTTTTGGTTATAATGGTTGTTGAATTGAGTTGTTCTGTACCATATACAAAAAAATTTCTTTTATTTAATTTCTTAAAATGTGTTTAGTGCTATTTAAATTTTTATCAAAATCAAATCAAACTCAATCATATTTGCAGGCCCTTGTATAAGGCGATGTTGTAAAAAGATTATGCAGAAAAAAAGATGTTGCAAGGTTAAAAGACGCTGCCAGTTGCCAACCTCTTTAAATGTTATAATAGAAAAATAATATAAATTTGTTTATTAAGTTTCAAAGTTTTTTGTTTAGTTTCTTGTTAAAATTTAAGTAAAAGTATTCAAAATATTAATACCTAAAATAAGCATATTGTTTTTATTTTAGATTATTTAGAAAATGTCTCTTTGAAATGAAGCTTTAACTTCCTATTGACTAGTTTCAACAAAATAAGAAAGTACTTTTATAAACATTGACAAATTTTCCATCATATATAAAGTTTCTCAACTTATCTAAGCATATTGCTAACTAACTCAAGTACAATACTAAGTTTCCTTTCTCAGATTGTCGGACCTAAAAAAATTAAACTAGAAGCAGCCGAAAAGGAATTTGCAGCGACTATGGCAATTCTTGAGCAAAAACTGTCTGAAGTCCGAGCTCTGGAAGAAAAGCTCAGCAACCTGAATCAGAAGTTTGAGAAAACACTTGAAGAGAAACAGAAGCTAGAAGACGAAGTACAACTCTGCTCTGATAAGCTGATACAAGCAGAAAAATTAATTGGTAAGTTTTATTTTTAATTTTGAAACATTTAAATATTTCTACTGCTCTGTGTATAGTTTTTACCTAAAATGTAATCTTTTTTGTGATATATTCAAATATGGAAAGTAAATACAAATACGTCTAGTAACACTTGAAAAATATATTTACACTTGGGCTGATACTATTAAGTGTTAACTCACAAGATGGTAAATACATTTAAAAGATGGTAAGTGGTGATCGATATTTCCTATTGGGTCTGATAATGATTGGAGTGTCCAATCGTTAAATAAATATTCCTCAGTATAAATATTAAAGTTTATTGCTCACCAGTTTTTTTTTGTTTTTAAGTTAAATACTTAAATGATTAAACGGCATTCGATTTCCTTAGAACAAGCTTACTAAACCATTAACAAACTTCAGGAAATAGGAATAGTTCTAACAATAGTTATTTATGCAACTAGTGAGCAAAGTGAGCAATTGACTCACTCGAGAGAAATACTTACTCACGAGCCATAGGCAAGTGAGGAACGGTTTCTTGAGTGAGGCAATTAAACTTTGCACTCGAGTTGCACATTATATTTTTCCTACAGATACCATAAAACAAATAAATTGGTAAAGAAACGTAACATATTTTTACACAGAAATGAACTTTTAATAGGTATGACATTTAATGATACAACAGTACAACAGCTGACCAGCTGATTTACAGCCAGTGCTGCCAACGTATTTCGCGTGCATACAACCTTGTCTGCATGTTACGCGCTCACTATTTCGTGCCTTCACGTTGCAAATCTGGAGTGAGACAATGTTAACATTGTCTCACTTTGCTTTCTCAAATCAGTGAGAGAACATGTACATTGTTAAGTAACTGTAGGAAAAAATATATTGCACTATTTTAATTTCTAATTCCCTTTCCCCAATCAGGTGGCCTTGGAGGAGAAAAGACCAGGTGGAACCAAGAAGCTGAAAAGTTACAAGTAGCTTACGACTGTCTACCAGGAGATGTCCTTATCTCCAGCGGTGTCATTGCTTATCTGTCTTTCTTTACAGCTGCTTACAGGTACTGTTCCCACTTAGTACATTTTAATTGTACCACAAGGAATTTATTTCTTATACAACGTTGCATTTTAGATTATGTAGGAAAGGGAAGATAACTTCAATGGATGTAGTTCTAGAAAGTTTATGGATACAAAAAGATTAATATAATTCTTATTCTTCCTTCCTTAATTATTTTTCTGAGATTTCCACAGAATTAGGGGAAAAGTGAATATTTATTTTGGAATAAATGTAACAAAATATCCAACCTAACAGTAGATGTATTGTTTCTTGAGTGTTGTGTTTGGCTAGTATTCAGAGTGTAGCATTTTTTAGTCTTGTTATCAGGCATTGATGATGGGTGTGAGTTCAAATCCTGCCAATTGTTAATGTCAATGGCACATTTATCAAGTTGGTTGTGATTAGCTTGTTAGATACATCTATCAAGTAAAAAAAAAAACTGAAAATACAATTTTTGTCTGCAAAAACTATTTCATTTAAAAATGTTAACTGAGTACAAATTAGTGTATTATTTAAACATTAAGTAGATTAGTACAGTAGAACCTTGATGACAAGACTCTCATAGGGATTATAAAATAAGACATTATCAAGGTTGACTACACAGGTTAACAATAACATGTGTTTAGGGGTAAAATAGTTTCAAGGGGATTTGAAAATGACCCTTGTTATCAAGGGTGTCTTGTTATCGAGGTTCTACTGTAGAATAATTTGAGACTTGTTTTCAACATGTGTGCTTGTCTCTGCTTGTATTGTTTCCACAGAAAAATGAAATTTTTTTGTTATTTTCCAGACAAACCTTGGTTGATGATTGGAAAAAACTGTGTGACCTGCAGAAAATACCTAACTCGCCTGTTTATAACCTCACTCAAATATTAGGGTCTGACATTAAAATTCAAAATTGGAACATTTTTGGTTTGCCACGAGATGTTTTTTCCATTGAGAATGCTGTTATTCTCGATTCTACAAATAGGTAAGTCACGTAAACTTCCAGTATTTTGTAATTGCTTGCATGTGAACATGTGTTATTTATAATAGAAATGTTGAAGAGGTGAAGACGGATCAATATTATCCAGCTAAGTCCTTGTAACAAATACTTTGAATGGTTTCTTGACTTTCATTTGTTTGTGTTTTATTTTTATTTGTTGTCTACGCTATCGGAATACTTTGGTTTTTGTTAGGTAAACAGCTCAAATCCTGGTCTTTGGTTGTTATTGGATGTTACTATTTAACACCGACCTTTTCTTACATGGCTGGAGTCAAACCAGGGACCCTCAGATTTGAAATGAGGCACTATAACCTCGCCTGTATATGTGTATGTGTGTACCGGTACTGTGTTTTCTTTCTCTGAGTAAGAAACCCTTAAGAAGTTCTGGACGTAACCAATTTGAGTTGAGTATTGTCACAAAGTGTCACAAACATGTGTGCTGAGTAATTTCTTATATTTGTACCTCGTTGATTTTCATATTTGTTATAACAGTGTGTTACACCAGCCAAAATTGAAAGTGATCAATAAAGTCATTTGTCAACAGATGGTCACTACTGATAGACCCTCAGGGGCAAGCCAACAAATGGATAAAGTCGATGGAGAAATACAACGAACTAGAGGTGGTTAGACTGACTGACGGAAAATACATGAAGAAACTAGAGACTTGCCTGGAGTTCGGGATGCCAGCTCTGGTAGAGGATGTTGGTGAGGACCTGGACCCTCCACTCGACCCAATACTGCTCAAACAGACCTTCAGGCAAGGTAAGAGACTGTACTAGAGCTGGAGATGGTATGGCTCATAGTTGGAATATTGTTCTCGAATGTGACCTGGGAACCACTAACAACCATTTATAAGATATTATTAGTAAACATTTATTTTAGCTTGATAAATAGTACCGGTAACTCTTATTTTTGTAGCGTAATTAACTTTGCAGTTATCTTTGCCGTCACATACGTCATATATGTTTTAGGTAACACTGAATATATTAGCTTGGGAGACAACGTTATTGAATACAACAAAAACTTCCGCATCTACATAACCACCAAGTTGAGAAATCCACACTATTTGCCAGAAGTTTGCAACAAAGTGACCTTGATCAACTTTGCCCTGACTGTGGAGGGGTTGGAAGATCAGCTGTTGGGAATAGTTGTTGCTAAAGAAAGACCTGACTTGGAAGACAAAAGGCAAAATTTGATTGTTGAAAGTGCAAATAATAAAAAGACACTCAAAGAAACTGAAGATAGGATTCTGTATATATTGACATCTTCAGCTGGGACAATTTTGGAAGACAAATCTGCTATTGAAGTCCTTGATTCATCAAAGGTATGCACTCCATATTTTATCACTCTGTATTATTTAGGCAGGTTTTAGCTTAAACTTATCAGACTATTAGTACACTCCTTGTAGCTTTGATTTTGAACTAGTATTACGTACAGGACGATACCTATTCAACAATACACAGTGTGATACTAGTTCAAAAGTGTTGTACTATTGTGATCTTTTTTTTCTCCCATATATTTTAAAGACTTTATACTCTGTCTAGTCTGTTTTGTGTTCCGTGAAGGGCGTGTCTCCAGAATTTCATTGTGTTTTCTTTCACTTAAGACTACTTAGAGTTATAATTATTTACTTTGATCTACTTAATAAACCAATATTAACCATAAGCCACTCATGCACAGGATTGGGAATCATTGTTCTTAGATGTGGACTGGTGTAGTCACCTGCCTTATCTTATTCTTTGATTGCAGGCTCTCTCCGTAGACATCCAGGAGAAGCAGAAGACATCTGTGGAGACTGGGAGGATCATAGAGGAGTTTAGACAAGGATACCGACCAGTGGCTCAACACTCGGCCATCTTGTACTACTGCATCACCGATCTGCCCAATGTTGACCCAATGTACCAGTACTCGCTCACTTGGTTCATCAATATCTACATCATGTCTATTGAGAGTGCGTAAGTATGCTGTGCGAAACTGCGCTTTAACTCTCTCAGAAAATCTTTTGAATGATAAAATTTGGAAAATGTTTCAACCAAGATTTTGTGAAAAATTTTCCTGATCTTTGAGATGGCAAGATGAAAAATATGTATTTTTTGTTAGTATTTTGTTGTTATTATTACTTTTTGGAGGTTAAATGTAAGAAAGGACCAATGAGGTCCTAAGTTCGCCTCAATAAAGAAGGATTTTCATTTCATTTCAAAAATTGATGAAGCTAGGTGTATGTGCTTCCATAAAGTGGCAGTCACAAACCCTGCTTGGAAGCATACCTCCCTTTTCATTGCAGGGCAGCACTGGACTTTCAAAAAAGGTTTATCTGGAAATGGCTAGCTAGCTTACTTGAGAAAATTTGTTTCCTTGACCTTAACTGGCGACTATAACCTTGCTTTGTTGCTTGCTATGATTTTGCCTTTTTTAGCAGAGGTCAATCAACGTAACATTAATCTGACCTGATTATTCACTCTCTAAAGAAGTTTTATGGTAGGATGAAATACCATTGTCATGTGTTTGGCAGTTTCGTGTATTTATATTTATAATCTAACAAAAAACCACTAAGTGGTAACACTTTCCTCACCAAGTCAGCAATCCAAAAAAGATAATAAATCATTACTTTTTCCGCCAAGAAAAACAATGTAATGTATGTAAGTTTGGCAACTTGGCGGCAGACTTTTGCTTGTTTTTTTTTTTTTCATTAAAGTTACGTTCGTGGATAATTTCACAAATCAACTTCTCTAATTATTTAGTCCAACTAAGCATAATAATTTCGAGGTAATCAGTAAACATAAAACCATCACTATTATGATTTTATGAAATGTGGCACAAATAAGGTCAAATTTTGTAAAATAAGCTCTCACCTAGCAATGTACCAATGGGAGAGATACTTGCTCAATGAAACTAGTTTTATGGTATTTTTTAAAGTGATCAAGCAAAAGTCTGCCACCAAGTTGCCAAACACACATTACATACATTACATTGTTTTTCTTGGCAGAAAAAGTAATGATTTATTATCTTTTTTGGATTGCTGACTTGCAAGGAAAGTGTTACCACTTAGTGGTTTTTTGTTAGATTTTATTTATTTTTGTAGAAAATTAACAGTTAAAATAAAAATCCTCTTTTTTCTGATATATAGACCACGGCACAACTACATCTAATTTAATTTCAATAATATTGTTTGTGTAGAACTAAATTCTACACTTTTGGTCTTATCTGCTTTAAACCGATTAACAACTTTTGGACACACGTACCAAAATTACTATTTAACAAACCCCCTGGGCTTAAACTCAGTTTCAAATTTCATCAATGGTCATCTTGAACATCATGAAATACGTTTGAGTATAACTGTTAGAATTGATTGTTAAACTCAATTTTAATAAATTGATTTTTTTTTATGATTTCTATGACCAGTAATCTCATGACTAATATGTTCATAAGTGTTCTGATAATTAAACCCGAATATATAAAGACTAGTGTAAATTGAGCCCTTATTAGAGAAGTAAAAATGTAATCAAACATATTAGGTTTGTTAGAACTAGCATAAGGCAAAACAAATATTGAAAAACTCATTTATCCTAAATTTACATACTGTATCACTTTTTAATTGCTTGTTTAACATACATAGAGTGATTTTCCCGATTGTTTTATTTGTTTTAGTGTATCAAAACATAAAACAAACCTTAGTACTAAGTTTCAAGTTCCTGAGTTTCATATGTTTTGATAAGTAGTATCATAGACTAACCAACACAAGGGAGTATGTTTTATCTATGATAGTATTAAACTGTTAAAAATGACAAGCTGCTGTACCAGTGTACCATCGGTACACTGTTTTTTTCAATGGAAAGTATCGGGGAATATCACTAAGTAATTTTATATAGTAAGTAGTTCAAATCATTCGGTATACCTGAAAAAAATACTTTATAAAAGTTTTAAAATAATTTTTCAGCTGTTCCTATGAATTTCTCTAACATTTAAATTAATTGAGATTTAATCGCAGCTGGTCCTTCTTTTGTTTTGATTTTAATTCCATGTTATTTAAATGGGCCAAAATCGTTCTTTGAGGGCTTGCCAAGGGTTTATGGGTCAACGCACCGACTTGAGACCCTCAAAAGGCACATCTGCACGTTAAGGGCTTTCAAACAACATAAAAAACATTAAAATTGGTTTGGGATGTAGGTCCGTCAACATTCAAGGAGAAGGAGGAGAAGGAGGAGGAAAAGGAGAACACGGAAAATTTGTGAATTTTCAAACTAGTTTTTCTTGGCTCAAACAGAACCGTTTTTTAAATTTTTTTTTTAATTTTGTTGAGAATGAGTGCCCCTATCCAGTAGATGAATAATTATTTTAATAGCTTTTGTTTCTTCTGAGCTATAGACGAGTAAAAAAGCCACTTTGTCACGTCATGTATATATACACTGCAGCAGCTGTGTACCGCTGGGGGACTTGGCGGGGCGGAACGCTGCCGCGTTCCTTAATACATCAAAATTAAATATTTTTATCTACATCTTACATGTAACAGTGTGTGATAGCAATACGGTAATGATTATCTTCTCTAATTGCTTTCTTCAACATGCACAGATTAATGTTAGGGTTACAAGAGTTCAGAAGGATCCAGATTTTCAAAATGAACTAGATCTGGTTATCTTTTCTGATGAAAAATATTTTTGAAATTGAAAAAAATTTGAAGGATAAAAAAAATGTCCAAACAAACTAGAAGGCTCAAGAGTATGGCATCTGTTTGGTAAATATGAGTTTGGTTTTTGTGTTCCTGATTTCTGACCATTTCAGGAACGAGTCCAAAGTGCTGTCCAAGAGATTGGAGTTTCTGAAGGACAAGTTCACTCACAACCTCTACACTAATGTTTGTCGCTCTCTGTTTGAAAAGGACAAGATTCTGTTTTCTTTTGTATTGTGCACCAGTATCATGATGTAAGTATAAAGTTGTTAACTAAATTTGTAATAAAAAAATCTATTTGCAGTTGTTGTTCAAAGGTTTATCACGGACATTTCCCATCACAATGGACAAAAATTGCAGTTATTCCCCATAAATTAGGCTATTTAGATCAAACCTAAAATGATATGTAGAGTAAACTGTTGAGAAAAGATTAAAGTGGTAATTAGACTATTTAGGTCTTAAATTATCCATACGAGAGAATATACAATAATTATTACGTAACAAAGCTACTTAACTGTTGCATCCCAAGTCATTCTGCGAGAACTGTGAGTTTTATAAAAATACCAAATTAAGAGAAAGAAGTTTTTATGTGTTGGAAGCTTTTTACTAATCAAAATAACAATTTGATTTTCAGTGCAGAAGGGAAACTTCTCAAAAGTGAACTGAACTTCCTACTGACGGGAGGAGTTGGTTTGGAAAACCCTTTACTCAACCCAGCTTCGGCATGGCTTGTTGACAAATCGTGGGACGAAGTTTGTCGTGTGTCAAGCCTTGCTGCTTTCAAAGGTAAGTTGTACCAAAGGAACTAATTTAAACAATGTTACAAATTACTTTACCCTATAATTTTCTTGTACTAATTTTAAATACAAATACAATTAATTATTAATTTGTAAAAAAAGTATATTTTATAAACTTTGTTTTCCTCAAAGATTTTTAAAATATAGAATAAAAATATATATTTCTGAATAGAAAACAAAATGAAAATTTTACTGTCAATCATATGCAATAGCGTAACCAGGATTTGATTATGGATGGGAGCCAATCCTTGTAAATAATATGTTTTGGAAGTCTCATTACAAAAATTAAACTTCAACGTTGTTAAATTCTCCAGAAAATATTAAATGAAATTCTACTTTCTTGTCACAAAACATTTTAGTGCAGCTGATGAAACACATTACATCATCATAACCTTGTAGACTCAAAATATTTAAAGGAATTTAAATGAATATATATTCAAAATACAAAAACACTTCTAATTTTATTTAAATAATTTTTCTAGAAACTCAGGGGCCCAGGCTCCCATGCCACTCATGTTCACCCCAGTGATTATAAAGTTCTGTCATATACTATTGCCAAACTATCACTGTTTCAGTCTTAAAATCAAATTTCTCTCTAGATCTTTTGAATTTTATTTAATTTGAAATCAGGGTAAGAAACAACAAATTATAATAATGTTAATATAAATTTAAGTGTTAAATAAAATGTCATAATGAAAGAACTTCCCTGAATCTAACTATTTGTGATTTTAAGGGTTTAAGGAAAGTTTTACCGCAAACCTCCCTGCGTGGAAAAAGCTGTATGATTCCGCTGAACCTCACCTTGAACCTCTTCCTTCTCCCTGGGATTCCTCCCTGAACCTCTTCCACAAACTGATTGTCATCAGGATGATCAGACCTGATAAGGTAGTATCTTGATTCTGAATGAGAATCATTACTAGAATTTATTAAATGTATGTAGTTTCCAAAGGATTTCTCTGAAAGATTTGGCTAGGAAGCATTTTTTTTAAATTACAATAAAATCTCCTTGCCGGGTGTATAGTTCATGAAAGTCACAAAAATGCTATTTGTGTGGCTTGTTTTTGCTAAGAAAACCGTAATTAATTAGAGAGTACATTTTTTTTGCTATTTTTTTTGCTAGCTTTCTTTTTCCTGACAGTGTGGAGTAAAGATTCAAGAACAAACTGTAGAACATAGATTTATTTAAAATTCAGCTGCCATATCTAAGTCTATGTTAAGCCAGCTGTTAACCGAAATACACCTGGATAGCTGAGTGGACAGTGCTTGTCTAGTGATCAAAAGGTGGCTGGTTCGATTCTAAGAAAAGTCAAAAGCTTTTTGATGGTTCGAAATGGGACACAGCTGACCTTGATCATTGACAGCTGTGACAGCTATTTTATATTAGGCTTTTAATATACGGTCGTTCCCATATAGAACCAAATATCTTAGTCAGTAACAAAGCTCTTATTCATTAAACAATTAATGAATAATTAATGATGAGCTCTTATTCCTTCTCTTCTCTTCACCTTCAAATACCCACTGTGGCGTGACGGAGTCGTATAAATAAAATGTTATCCAAAATCCTAGCGAAACATTACTTTTAAGCTGCCAGTTTTTCTTCCAACTTTTTCACTACTGTAGGCTACATCCGCAGGTGGTGCCCCTGTTGATACGATGTGTAGAAGAAGAGATCGGACCGAGGTTCGTACAGCCGCCTCCGTTTGACATTGCCAAATCCTACAGTGACTCCAACTGTCTTTCGCCTCTTATCTTCATCCTCTCCCCGGGCGTCGACCCTATTGCAGGACTCATGCAGTTTGCCGCAAAGAAAGGTTTCGGGGCAAAGTTTCAGTCGATTTCTCTTGGACAAGGACAGGTATGATCTGGGCTGGGTTTTACATGGTTTAGACAAGTAAGTTCTTTTTGCTAGACTAAGCTAATACCTACCAAATAGGTATTGAAATATTTGACTTTTTTGACACTAAATATCATGCAAATTTACTGCAATTTACTATGTATTTTGTCTTAATACTTTACAATAGGAAAGTGACTGAAGTAAGGAAACAGTATTTGTAGAACGTATTAAACGTTGGGACTTCTTCATTAGACTTGCCGCTATATATTTTTAGAAATTAATTTTGATGTTTTAAAATTTCAATAGTTGTAAAATTTGTGAAATTTTTTTTGTTGGTTTTGAGTGAACTTAAATTAATGATCTTGTAATGTGATGTAGTTACATAATTAAAATCCATGTTTTCTATAAAGCGGTCATCGATGGCCTACCAGGCATTCTGACCTCAAGTCAAATTTGGCCCTGTACATTTCATATATATTTCCCAAACAAGTTGCTTAATAAGGTTTTATACTGGTCTTCAGTTTTTCAACCTTTTACAATAACCGTCTCGAGCTGTGGACGATTGACTACCATGAATTTTGTGGGCGAGGTTGTGGAAATTAAGAGTTGACGGCCGACGCGTAACTCATCTAAACCGGCTGCGGCAAGGATGGATAAGCCTCGTTCACACGGTGCGAGTTTACAAGTTACTTGCCAGCGTGTAAGAAGCCGGCGAGTTGGCGAGTGTGCTTGTATTCGTTTACACGGAGCTTGTCCACTTGCCAACTAGCAAACAAGTAGAAAGACGCCGGCGAGTGCGCTTGTAGTCATTCACACGATGCTTTTTCCACTCGCTTAGTAGTTAGCTTGAACCAAATCCTCCGACATATTTGAATAACAAGCGCACAAATACAAGCAACTGATGTGTTCACACTGGGCTACTTTACACGCCTTCTTGCTCAAAAGCTGGCGAGTTGGCGTGTAAAGTAGCGGCAGCGTCAATTTATTCCAGAGCTTTTTTACAAGCAGCTTTTGAGCGAGTACGTCGTTCACACTGAGCTATTTTACTAGCTGCGTGTAAAAAAGCCGACGTGTAGCTTGTAAATTCGCCCCAAGTGAACGGGGGCTATAAGATTGAAGGTTGGATAATTGAAGATCGAGTATTCGAGACTCTACCTTACACTGATTACACTTGATGACCCAGGGCCCGATAGCAGCTGGGCTGATCCACACGGCACAGAAGGACGGGGGATGGGTCTGTCTGCAGAACTGTCATCTGGCCGTGTCTTGGATGTCTGCTCTGGATCATATCTGTGAGAGTCTGGACATCTCCAATACATCTCAGGACTTCCGGCTGTGGCTCACCAGCTATCCCACTGATAAGGTACACTTACTTGACGGCCGTATGGAATAGACGTAAACAATGCAAAGCATGGCCAGGTGATGTAGACCAAGTAGCAGACCTGAAAAGCCATCCTGTTTGGCTAGATTGTAGCTGTAACATTCTTTGAAACCTTTGAGGTTGGCTCACACTGTTCAGGATTAATTTGACAGAAGTTTTAAGCTATTAATACACTGATTATTAAACACTAGTGCACATGTTGCTCAAATTCAAGCAATTACAAAGTATTACAGGTGTTATTTCACAACGAATAACAGTCATAATTCCCGAAGAGTTAGCTCAAAGATAATGTAATTAATCACTCCTCTCCAGTTATCGAAACTGAAAATGAACACACTCTGAAAACAAACTTGTGTGTGTAATTGTCTATGGTAATGTTTACTATGAACAGCTGTTTTAGTATGCAATTAATACAAATTATTTGTCTGTTAAGTAAACAAAATGTTTTCTTCATAAGAAATACAATGGGATTGTAATGGCCTGTGGGGCAAAGCCCGAGGACTTTTATTACAGGAATTGGTGAAAGGGGGTGTCTACACAAAAAATACTTAATTTTGACACATCGTTTATACAAATCCGTCCATTATTAACGGTGGAGAAGTGTTTCATAGAAATCACCTTCACGTATTATATATAAGGATTAGTATTCTTTGCATTTTAAACATTGAAATGGGCTCAACACTTAGGAGGGAAAATGTCAAGTAGAATGTATCATAAAAGGAAGAAACAAAACAAGCTCGTACTCATAAGTATTCGCCTCTTGATGCTTGAATTGCTGCATAGCTTATTTGAAGGATAATGCATTAGGCCTTACTTTCATTGTTTAGTTTATTATTATTAGATACCTTTGATATGGGGATGCAATTGGCATATTTCAATATCAATGGAGGATAAGTGAAATTAGAGGCATTGTGTAGCTTTGTTTACTGGCTAAGACCAGGACTGTTTCTATAGCCAGGCAGGACCCTTACTAAAGCCCAATAATCTCAATCCATAGCTCATATTTGGGCTCAAATGTGTCGTCGTGTCCCAATCTCAATTAGTTGTAACACTTACAGGTAGATTGGCACTAAAGACAAGAAATTTTCATTCACCACTTTATGACTCTAATACATTGATTTTTCACAAACCCGAACACCATTAGTTTATTATGTTAATTTGTTTTCAGTTTCCACCTTCCATTCTGCAAAATGGAGTCAAGATGACAAACGAGGCGCCAACAGGGCTGAAACTCAACATGTTGCGCAGCTACACGTCCGATCCTGTCAGGGACATGACATTCTTCCATGGCTGCCCTGGCAAGGACAAGATGTTTTCTAGGCTGCTCTACGGAATTACGTTCTTCCATGCTGTTGTTCAAGAACGTAGAAAGTTTGGTCCTATTGGGTGGAACATTCCTTACGAGTTTAATGAGTCTGACTATCTAATTTCCATCCAGCAATTACAGGTTAGTTTTTAGGTTATGTTGACTTTGCAATGTCTTAAATTTGGGATGAAAATGGTAGATTATGTAGTAAATCATTACCTAAAGATGTGTCAGCTATTATATAGATACAATGTCATATATTTAAAATTTGAGCTTTGCAAACTTATGATAATAATTAATTAATTGGGATGTGTAGAAGATAGAAATTAGCTGGTAGATGATGGAGGAAGGGGAAGTATGAAACTATAGGAGAAGATGGAGAGGTCATTGTCCAGATCTGAGAAAGAAACTAAGCAAAAGAGGATATGTTTGTTAATTTATTGGCATAGAAAAAGTTTTTCATTAAAACGTAGTACAAAATCTTTTACTAACATATCCTGCTGCTTCTGTCAGATGTTCATCAATGAGTACGAGGATGTGCCGTTTGCCGCCATCTTGTACATGACGGGTGAGTGTAACTACGGTGGTCGTGTGACGGACGCTTGGGACCGTCGAGCTCTTAACACCATCCTGCTTGACTACTGCAATACCCAGGTTATATCCTCGACCAACTATCGCTTTAGCGACATCATCAACAAGTACGCTGTGCCTGAGCGCTTTGAATACTCCAACTTCATTGATGCTATACAAGTGAGTTTGTAGATGTACAAGTATGTGAATGAGTATTAGGATGTGGTGACTTTATGTTGAGGTTTTTTGAAAGGGAGAGCAAATCTACTTGAGGATAGGATGAGCTTCAGGAGCTCAAAGTTTAAATATTTTGAGTTTGATATTCATTGTGTTCAGATTATTTATTGGTTAGATTTTCTCGCTCTATATTCAACGAATCGTTCACCGAGCATAAAGTATTTCATTTGCATAACTAACTGAGTGGGGATCATTAGGTCTTCCAATGCAAATGTAAGCTTACTCTTTTTTTTTAACTTAATACCACTCCTTCTGGGCTTTTGATTTTGTGCAGTATAACTACACCTGACACCAGATGCAAAAGAAATACTCTTAAAAGGAGTATGGTAAGATACTAGCTCCTCAGATACTCATGCAACATTCCTCCTTAGGAAGCATGTTGTTTTAATACTTGCAAATTCTTCTCATGGTGTTTTGTCCTTCCCTTAGGATCATATTGATGTTATTTGGTCCAGGATCACTTCTTGAATATTAAAATGGTATAATATTACCTGTTTCCGTCTGTAATCCTATATTTGTTGTATAGAGCAACCGGTTTCAAGGCTATAACCTCATCTTCAGGCTCTTGTTGTCACTCTTGCGAGATCGTCGAGTTTCATAAACACACAAAAACACTAACATTGAAATAAATAAACACGAGACATTGACAGATGAAGTAATCGATGTTAATCGTCTTCGTCTGTCAATGTCTCGTGTTTATTTATTTCAATGTTAGTGTTTTTGTGTGTTTATGAAACTCGACGATCTCGCAAGAGTGACAACAAGAGCCTGAAGATGAGGTTATAGCCTTGAAACCGGTTGCTCTATACAACAAATATAGGATCACAGATGGAAACAGGTAATATTATACCATTTTAACTTCCCTTAGGAGTCTTCAAGGGTCAAAACTGATCCCTGAGATCTGATCTGCCATTGGGGTGAAAGAATCTTTTATGCAAGCAGTGGAAACGTTTTAATTGTTTTCAATCTGGGATGGATAGATATAACTTATAGAGGTTAAGATGGAGGATGGCAGATGATCCATCATGTGTGTCAGCCTATGAAACCAACAATCAATGATTGACTCTTGATTTCCAATTTCCAAAGTGTTTGTTAGATGAGTAAAGCTGGATTTTGCATAGGATTTAGCTTTGTGTAGTGGACATCTATTTTTAGAAGACAAACCTAAGTACATTGTGCCAACTAGAGTTTTTTGACAACTTAAACTGTCTCTCGTGGTTGGCTCAAATAGCCATGTAATATATAATTAAAATTTTGTTTGCTACCCATTACATTTATGTCCCCGATGTTGTATATTGTGTATTTCATATTCAAGTGTTACTTGTTATAGGAGCTACCAACGATGCCCACTCCAGGTGTGTTTGGGCTTCACTGGAACGCAGGCATCACTCGAGACCTGCAGAGCACCAAGAGTTTGTTCAACACAATGCTACAGCTACAGGGAGGAGTGTCTTCTGGTGATTCTGGTGCTCAAGACACAATACTCTATGACATGGCTAAGGACATCCTCAGTAAGGTAAGAGTAATGTGTGAGAGCTGTTTAGAAAGTAACCTCCGTTCTGTTATGTGAGTAAAACTATACAATTTGTCATGTTGTGTACATCTCAAAACAACATCTTTCCTTTATTCTTCAACATAATTAACATACTCATTTAATCACTTAAGGCATATTTTTACAAGCTTTAAAATTTGGTGACAAAATCTGTTGCTTGTGCTATGATCCAGTCTGTGACTGCATCTTTCAGTTCTTCATCATCAAACAACCGTTGAGATCCCAGCCACTTCTTCATATGCAAGAAGAGTGGTCTTGGAGTTCAGTGTCCTGGATGTTGGAATGCATCCTAATTGAACTTACCTAGAAATCACGTCTCCTGAGACCCAATATGAGCGGTCGCTCAAAACTCATGCTACCGATGCACGCCAACTAACCTGATGCACTTGTCTGTCAGAGAATGGTCGGGCTACCCAAACTAATTCACAGAGTTAAGAGCCGGCGGGAGTGAACCGGGCCGCTCACCGCTCTGCTCCTCAGTTTAGCATGGACCAAGGATAAAAAACCAATGCTACTACACGAAATCGTCATATTATCCAAAAATGTTTATTGTACTATTGTGAGGTTTTATCTTACGTACAATTTGATATGTCACACGTGTCAAAAAAAAATTTTTTTAATTTTTTATTTCGGAATTACAAAGTTGATTTTACCATAAGGATTTAGGTTATTTCACTGAAACTAATTCCATCATACAAAATTTATTTCTCAACTTAGGAGGTTAAAACCAGTTTCTATAAAAACTACAACATATTTCCGTTGAAAGTACAATACCATATTTTACAAATTGTCGTTTATAAAATTTTATCTAGTAATTTATAAAACAGCTTGCAATTTCAACTGTGTCGACGTGTGTTGCGGGTCTCACGGGGTGCGGTGGTAGTTTAGCGTTTTCCCGCCGGATAGCACCACCTTCGAATTGCTAAATACAGAATATTATGCGGCACGCTCACCATTCTGATACTGCATTTTTTAATAAAACAGTAGAGTCGTCCAGTCCCAGTAGCGAATATTAGTTTACATTCCGTTTTGCAACACTTCGCATTTCGCATGCGATTATTGGTTCTTTTCTAACTAGTGCTTATCTACAGTGCCTAGTGCTAATAGCCTACAGTAGTTAGTAGATATATAATAGTGGCTAAGCTGAAATATTGGTGACGGTCTGCAGTTCATTTACCCAAAGTCCGCTAGAAAATTTTCAGCAACCTATCAAATGGGTCACTTGAAGTTTTATCCTTCGAAGAAGAAGAAAAGAAGACTTCCTGCTAGTTTGGAAGCAGCAATAAACAGAAGAAAGTAAGTAAAATTAAACTAACTTGATTCTGATGAATTGTAAAATAATAAACTATTAGTTATTTTTATACCAGAATGAGGATTAAGAACTTGACTCAAGAATCAACAAAAATTGTATAAGAAAATAATTTTATAAATTAATATTCGTGAGGGTTTCCTTATCTTTATAAAATCCACACGACTGCAAAACACGCCCAAATTACAGGAGGTACAAGAAATATTAATTCATTATTACTTTGACGGTAAAAATCCGATTGAGGTAAATGTAGGCGGGAAAACGCCAGGGGATCAGTGTGGCTTGGCAGCTGAAAGGGCAGCAGCGACCTTGACTGGCGGGTGTATGTGCGGGTGAGGCGACCGCCAACAAACACACTCATAATATATCATATTTTGGATTATTTTTATTTCTCACCCAATTAAAAAAATTACCACCGAATTAAAGCCTAATATCATGTGATTATTGAGTCGGAAAATTATCTGACAAAAATTGTATATTTCCAGGAAGAGGAATACTGCTTTGGCAGAACAACAAGCTATAGAAACTCATGGAGCGGAAGAACAATCTGCAAACCCTAGTAAGACGCCTAACAAGAAAGAATTCAAATTAAGTGGAAGAAGAATTGTTAACATAGCTGATTTTATCGACCAGATAAAAATGTTGGACAATCATAGCCCAATAGGTTGTAATTTTTCGAATATGGTTGTATTGTCTGAAGTTAGACAGGGACTAAGGAATGGGTTTGTCGTTGAATGTACCATGTGTAAATTCAAACAGACTATTTGGTCTGAGAAAATTAATGAAAAAGAAATGGACGTGAACAAAGCTGTGTTTGTGGTACTATCGTAACAGGAGGTGGCCACGCTCAACTCGAGGAATTCCTCAGCACTCTCGACATCCCTGCAATGAGCAACAAGACTTTCAAAAAAACTGAAGAACAGTTATCAGAGGGTTGGACTGCGACTGCGGCGGCAGAGATGGAAGCGGCAGCGGCGGAGGAGGCTCAGCTAGCGAGGGAAAACAACGAGGTTGACAAGGACGGCGTACCGCTAATTACAGTTGTCGCTGATGGTGCCTGGTGCAAACGATTATATCGCACCAACTATTCTTCCTTATCTGAAGTGGTGAGTGTGATCCTGCATTCACTTACTCTTTAAACAATAATAATTACATTAACACATTATTTTTTAAAAAATTTTAATAAAGTAAAAAAATAATTTGAATTTAATTAATTAAATTTTAATAAATTAAATTTTTACTTAAAACATCGAATTAACACTTAAAAACAATGCTAAAAACCTAACAAAACTGAAGTATTTCAAACAATTTGTATATCTTATGAAACATTTTTGGTTCATGCGGCAATTTTTCTACATACAATACTGTACAGTGTCACTCAATAAAACTACATGATTATAAATACAATTATTGATATGCGCGTAGATGCCATAGATATTGTAATAACAACGCATATCTATGGTAGATGACGAGCAAGGAGCGACTTATGCACTGTCGTGCTAGGCTACCGTCGCGCCTCGCGCCGAAGCAAACATTCTGTGTTCGCTGTCTAAACAGCGCTACGTCACTAAGGAGGGGCGGGGGAGGGGAAGTAGGATCAGGCGGCGCCCGCTAACATCAAAGGAGTGAGCCAGCCCTTGTATATCTGTAGCCCTGGAATAGTCTCAAACTACACCTAAGCGTACGTACATACATAAAACATACCACACATACATACCAGAATGAGTATATACATACATAGTACATACAGGGTGTTTTTTTTTTAACTTGCATCTGTAAAAACCGCAATAGATAGAAATACGGATCATGGGAATATGGGATTATCTCACAAATTCATGAACAGATTTTAAATTTTTTTTCATTAAAAATTTATTTCTTCATGCTCTTTCATTTGATATGTCACAAGGAGTACCTTGCTATTTAAAAAAAAGTTGGTGGCAGAGAGGAAAGGGGGGAATGTTAATGTAACGTTGAATTCAAAACAATTGGACCCCCTACGTAAATAGATTATTCCCGCAAACTGCATATTTCTATCTATTGCAGTTTTTACATAAATAAAGATGCAAGTAAAAAAAAAAAACACCCTGTACATACATATATATCTAAATAAATCAAAGGATTTTTTTCAGGCTGCCATTGTTGGATTTCGGACGCGGAAAGTACTCTTTATTGGCGTAAAAAACAAGTACTGCACAACTTGTGCTCGAGCTGATACAAGAGGGGAGCAGCAAAAGAACACACATGCTATAAAAACTGGAGCATGAAACAAAGCTCAACCAGTATGGAGTCATCTCTAGTATGCGAGGGGTTCAAAAAGAGTGAGGAAATGTACAATGTACGGTATGCAAGACTTATTGCCGATGGGGACTCCAGCGTATATAAGAAAATAATTGATTCTCGGCCCTACAAAAACTGCACTGTTCAGAAGATAGACATGCAAGAACCATCTTTTGAGAAATATGTGCACTAGACTCAAAACGATTGCAGCCTCTAAAACCTGCAAACCTTCCGTTTGGCTCAGAAAGAAAATTGGT